TAAAACCCAATTTAGAAAAGGGTCACAAGTTTTTCCCCAAAAAAGGGCGGTCTGGGTTTAAACATTTTTCTATTGTACTAAAAGTGAATAATTTCCTCTTTGATAGTGACAAATTTTTGTTTAATTTCCCAAGCAAAGCCCAATTTTTCTTGTCTCCTCGGTTTCCCAAAAGGGGTTGTAGTTTCCGCCTTTTGAACCCCCAAAGGGAAATAAAAAAATAATTCCCCATGGGGCATGGGGTTCCGTTTTCGGGGGTTATTTTACGTCTTTTTTCTAGAAAAGAAATCAGGGAAACCAAAGCGCCTTTAAAAAAATTTTAATAAATATTATTTTCTTCAAAATCTTAAGCTAAAAAGGGTTTAGCCCCTGTGCTTTTTGCGATTTTTTTTAATAAAAAGTGGGCCAAAGGGGCCATCCCCCTCCCCCCCAATTTTTAGTTTGGGTTTTAATTTAACAGCTCTCAAAACACTGGGGTTAGGCTTTTAAAAGAGTGAAATGGGGGGTGGGGGGGAATTAAAACCCGAAAAAATCTTGGAATAGTGGGCCTATAGCCAAATTTTTGTCTGTCCAAAAGGAGGCCTCCCTTTTAAACCCAACAAAGCCCTCTTTTTTTGTAAAATCAAATTTAAAAATGAAGACGGGCCCCTGGGGGTTTTGAAACGTCCCAAAGGCAGGGAAAATTGAAATGCTAGAGGGTCACTAAAAGCCCCGGGTTTCCGATCCCGGGTGAAATTCAAAAAAGGGCCAATGATCGGGAGTCCCATAGGGTGGGGCGAAACCCAATTTTTGGCCCCTTCGTCAGGGTTAGGGGGGGGTTTGGGCCCCCGGGGGGGGGCTTTACTTGGGTCACGGCGCTCTACGTTTCCTAGGGGCGGCGGGCGCCTGCGGGCCTGCCCGTGGGTTTTGTCTGCGGGCCCGGACCTGGTGGTCATTTGGGCCTTTCCTCCGCCCACATTGGTGGGGGTTTGGGGTTTTCCGGGTTAAGGGGGCGGGTTTGAAAAGCCCCGGGGGTTTGGGGGGCCCATTTTTTCGGAGGGAAGCATTACTCGCCCTTTTCAAAACCCCTCCCGACCCTTTGGGGATTTTTGGCCGGGGCGATGGAAAAGATCAAAATTGGGGAAAAAAAAGGGGGTAAAATACAAAATAAATAAAATAAAGACGGATTAAAAAAATTTTTTAGGCCACTTTAAAGCCCGGGGCCCTGCCCCTTTCCCGATTTGTGTCGCGGCTGCTGCTTCAATTTTTCAGCCCCCCCCCAATGTAAGTTACTAAAAATCGGGCTTTTTTGGAAGTAAAAAAACTTGAAAATGGGCCGACATGGGCAAGAACCCATAGGTTTTTAAAAAAATGAATAATAGTAGTGGCAACTTAAAAATTTTGACCTCAGGTATTCCTTCTCATCTTCCCACTCTCTTTCTAAAAACGAACAGAACTGGGTTAACTGTACTTCCCTTCCTAAAACGGGCCACGGAAATTCCAATTACGGGACAGCCAGGGTTAGGAAAAAACAAAAAAAACATGTTTTGATCACAAGAGCAAGCAGGCTGGGGCCCGGGTTGGGAATATGCAGGGCGTGTGAAATGCCCTATTTTTATTTTAACCATCCCAAAAGGCCACTTAGGAATATAAATTTTGCTCTGGGCTTCTAAAAGCAGGATTTTGGGACCCCTATAACCTATGCCTAAGGGCTAGGGTAATTTTTGAGCCCACACACCCCTTAGCTGAAATTGGGATTTTCCCTTGCCCACAGAGAATCAGAGGTGAGGGGAGGCATCGGGCACACATTGATACAGTCAGAAGTTTATATACACTATTAGACAAATACATTTAAACTCAGTTTTTCACTATTCCTGACATTTAATCCTGTCTTAGGTCAGTTAGGATCACCACTTTATTTGAATAATGTGAAATGTCAGAATAATAGTAGAGAGAATGATTTATTTCAGCTTTTATTTATTTCATCACATTCCCAGTGGGTCAGAAGTTTACATACACTCAATTAGTATTTGGTATCATTGCCTTTAAATTGTTTAACTTGCGTCAAACGTTTCGGGTAGCCTTTCACAAGCTTCCCACAATAAGTTCGGTGAATTTTGGCCCATTCCTCTTGACAGAGCTGGTGTAACTGATTCAGGTTTGTAGGCCTCCTTGCTCGCACATGCTTTTTAAGTTCTGCCCACAAATTTCCTATAGGATTGAGGTCAGGGCTTTGTGATGGCCACCAATACCTTGACTTTGTTGTCCTTAAGCCATTTTGCCACAACTTTGGAAGTATGCTTGGGGTCATTGTCCATTTGGAAGACCCATTTGCGACCAAGCTTTATCTTCCTGACTGATGTCTTGAGATGTTGCTTCAATATATCCACATAATATTCCTTCCTCATGATGCCATCTATTTTGTGAAGTGCACCAGTCCCTCCTGCAGCAAAACACCCCCACAGCATGATGCTGCCACCCCCCGGGCCTTCCACGGTTGGGATGGTGTTCTTCGGCTTGCAAGCCGCCCCCTTTTTCCTCCAAACATAACTATGGTCATTATGTCCAAACAGTTCTATTTTTGTTTTCTTCAGACCAGAGGACATTTCTCCAAAAAGTACGATCTTTGTCCCGATGTGCAGTTGCAAACCGTAGTCTGGCTTTTTTATGGTGGTTTTGGAGCAGTGGCTTCTTCCTTGCTGAGCGGCCTTTCAGGTTATGTCGATATAGGACTTGTTTTACTGTGGATATAGATACTTTTGTACCCGTTTCCTCCAGCATCTTCACAAGGTCCTTTGCTGTTGTTCTGGAATTGATTTGCACTTTTCGCACCAAAGTACGTTCATCTGTAGGAGACAGCGGTATGACGGCTGCGTGGTCCCATGGTGTTCATACTTGCGTACTATAGTTTGTACAGATGAACGTGTTACCTTCAGGCATTTGGAAATTGTTCCCAAGGATGAACCAGACTTGTGGAGGTCTACAATTATTTTTCTGAGGTCTTGGCTGATTTCTTTTAATTTTCCCATGATGTCAAGCAAAGAGGCACTGAGTTTGAAGGTAGGCCTTGAAATACATCCACAGGTACACCTCCAATTGACTCAAATGATGTCAATTAGCCTATCAGAAGCTTCTAAAGCCATGACATCATTTTCTGGAATTTTCCAAGCTGTTTAAAGGCACAGTCAACTTAGTGTATGTTAACTTCTGACCCACTGGAATTGTGATACAGTGAATTATAAGTGAAATAATATGTCTGTAAACAATTGTTGGAAAAATTACTTGTGTCAAACTATAGTTTGTTAACAAGAAATGTGTGGAGTGGTTGTAAAATGAGTTTTAAAACCTAAGTGTATGTAAACTTCCGACTTCAACTGTATATAGCCTAATAAGCAACTAATTCTAAAACATTGAGAAATAATGAAATGTAATAAATTACATTACACTCCCCTGGACTAGATACAAAAAAAAAATCCTAAACCCTCCCCTTGACTGAAATTGAAAAAGCATGACTTTCCCCCATTTTCCTCCAGGGACCATTATGTAAATGTTGATCCATCCTTAAGTATCAAAAGTAAAAGTATAAATAATTTAAAATTCCTTATTTTAAGCAAACCAGGCAGCATTTTCTTGTTTTTATTTTATTTACGGATAGCCAGGGGCACACTCCAACACTCAGACATCATTTAGAAATGAAGCATGTGTGTTTAGTGAGTCTGCAAGTTCAGAAGCAGTAGGGATGACCATGGATGTTCTCTTGATAAGTGCTTGAATTGGACAATTGTTCTGTCCTGCTAAGCATTCAAAATGTAAAGAGTACTTTTGGGTGTCAGGAAAAATTTATGGAGTAAAAAGTACATTATTTTCTTTAGGAATCTAGTTAAGTAAAAGTTGAAAAAAATATATACATAGTAATGTAAAGTACTTAAGTAACGACTTAAGTAGTAGCCTGGGAAACTCAGATAAATGTTTTTGTCAAATAGAGATATTTCACCACTGACCTTTTACCTTTTCAACCAAAAGATTACAACAAATCTGTTTTTGACATTTATTTACAACCTAGTCAATATGGAGAATGTGGCTAGTTTGACCATGTGTCAATGTTAAGCAAGCTAGCTAACTTTATTATTAGCATTCTCTGCTGGGCGGGCAATATCAAGCTAGCTAACATCTTATTGGTTGAATAATTGTTCCGACTTCAGAGGAACGTGAACACATTCATGTCGGATTTACGACTTCCCAGTTTCTCATTTACAATGAGCACATGAAACCACCCCTCAGCATCCAGCATAATGCCATATTCACGTGCTAGTCAGAACTAGGAAACTCGGAAATGTCCGACTTGCTAACTGGTTAAACTCGGCACTTGTATAACTACAACCTATTAGCAAGTTAGTCCTCCGGATAACAGTTTAGTTTTATCTGGTTGTCCAGAAATGAGGAGCAAGAATGAAATTGAAATCTCAGTTTATTCATCTCAAAGGCACCCTGTACCTTGAAAACAGTTTACATATATAATCTGTCAAATTGTACAATAATAAAGCACACAATGTCCAGCATTTTCCTCACTTATATCATTATTATTATTATTTTGACTGATATCACTTCTTCACATGTAGAAACGTTTTTTTTATTAAAAAGAAAAACAAAACAAAACAAATGTATGTATATAGATGTGATTATCAATTCATACAATGTAAAAAATTTAAAAAAATTCAACAAAATGTATGTCTTTTTCTTTTCCAGCAGAGGGCAGTAATGTAAAGTGATACACATTTTTCTGGAAGGGAGGCAAGGGAATGAAAGGGATTCTGCCTCTGAGTAAAGTATCAGAAAGTCTAGTCTACAATCAACAATTGTTGTTAATCATCTTGAATTCGCATGTGTGTGAGTATGTGTGGGGGAGTAGAGGGGTGAGATGTGTCTGACCACAGTTTGTGCCCTGAAGTACAGTACATAGAGGAAGTTTCTGTTCACGCACAAGTGACTAGCAATGATTCCCCAGTCAGACGTCCTTTGGCTCATTATTTATCTTCATCGTGGTGGTAGCCACACACCACCCCCACATCCTCATCATGTGCACAGTTGTGCTTGCCCACCTTTGCCCGTTTGCAGTCCAGTAACGTCCTCTCTGTGCCTTCACACTCCACATCATCTAGCAGGATACTGCCACTGCCGCCCCCCAGCTCCGCCCGTTTAGCCACACGCAGGGCTACAGGGAAGCCTAGTTGCTGGCACACCACCGTCGCCGCTTTACTGCTAAACAAGTCATCACACACTGTGCCCCACTCCCCCCGTATGTAAATCTCCACCCGCCCACGGTCCGATAGCTGCTCTGTACTGATCAGCCGCACAGACCCAGCCCGGTGCTTCCTGCGCCGCTGCTTCCCCGGTTTGGAGCCCCGGTCCTTCTTGTTGACCCGGTTCCTTGTGGAACGGTCTATCTTGTCACTCTGGCCTTTCAGGAACTTGTCCTGGGCCTTTGAGAGGGTGAAGTTAGGCTTCTGGGTGGTGGGCTTTGTTGCAGCTGTCCAGTACATGGGCCTTGGTGTGGTCTGGGGCCGGTTGGTCGTAACCTCTAGTGGTGAGGGTCTGACCGTGGCGTGTGGTTGTGGTCGGGTCAAGGGTTGTGCTGTTGGTGGAGAGGGCCTTCTGGCTCCAGTTGTCAACAGTGGTCGGGGCTTCGGGGTAACAGTGGGCCTGGTGTAGGACAACGACGGCCTCTGCCGGGAAGGAGTGGTGGCATGACCTGGCCTGGCCGTCATTACCTGCCTCCATGAGGTGGTCAGTGCATGTGTAGCGGTTCCTGTAGGCCTCTGCTGCATTGAGGTGGGGTTGGAAGGTGTTGTTACTGGTTTAATAGTAGCCCTCGTCATTAGAGGTTTAACAGTAGCCCTCGTCATTAGAGGTTTAACAGTAGCCCTCGTCATTAGAGGTTTAACAGTAGCCCTCGTCATTAGAGGTTTAATAGTAGCCCTCATCGTTGAAGGTTTAACTGTAGCCCTTGTCTTTGCAAGGGTTGCAGTTAGAGGTCTGTAGGTAGGTCTCGTCGTCGTAGAGCGCATGGTGGTCGGAGGAGTACGGAGCATGGTAGTAGCTGTTGTTCTAGAAGTGGTAGTGGGCGCAGCGGTGGTCATCGGCTTCTTGTTAATGACAAACTCTGTAGAGAGGAAGTCAAGTGAGAGGAACAGCCCTTTAGAGCACTCCAACTGACCGAGATGTGTTATGACTCATGATAGCCTGCAAAGCAACGCGTGTTTGTTTGTGGTGTCACTTACCCTCCTTCGGGTGGAAGTGAATCAGCTTGCCCTTAATCTTGACAAGAGTGGGCTTGAAGCTGCACTTGCCTGGAGGTGCTCTCCTAGATGGAAAGAGAAATCCATCAAACAATCAATTTATTCCAATGCTGCCCATGACAACTATCTCCGACTAATACAGTATAGTGTAGTTTTAATCATATGTTATCATAACCACATGAATAACAATTATATCATAGATAAGCACATTATATTCAGTAAATTGCATTTAGGGTAAAGGATTTAGCAGATATTCCCTTAGCGTGACACAGAGCGATTACATTTGCTGATTATACAGTTAAAGTATGAGATGTACTAAACAAACACAGGGGGATTGAAGACCACATTCATAATTGGATGGACAATAGACATTAGTATATCTGGCAAAGGTATGTCTGTTTTGGGAATCTGCCATTAATCCGAGATGGCTGTTGGGACATTGTGACACTTGTTTAATACCTGGATGGATCCACTATCTTATAGATCACCCCCGCTCTGGCAGACGCACTGGGAGCTCCCGTTGCCAGGAAGTACAGCTCCCCTAGAAACAAGAGGGAAAAATGATCTAAGACCCAGTACAAAGATATGCAGCACTGTCAAAGTGAAATGAAGACAACCTGTTTCTTTTGAACCCCTTCCCACTTTACTCAAATCAGCTTTGAAGTCAGGCATTCTGAACAAGGTTGCTTTTTGAAACTTATCTGAAGCTAAAGAGCATGCACTACTAAGTGGTACACCACTGGGCTTTTATTTCTTTATTTCTGTTCAAAAGCAGCAGACGCTTATCATGAAATAACTCATTTTCCATGGTTGTCTTTGGTGAGTGAATTCACAAGCAGCATGCATCCCCTAATGGCCTTTTCATGTACGGATCAGTACGAACAAAACACAAAGAGACACAAAAACATGCAAAGCTTGTTGTCAAGGTTACCTGCCTCATCTTCAGCAAAGGAGATGATGTATTTGTAATAGCTGTTGATAAGTTTGGTAAATCGGCACGTCTGGCCTTTTCCCATACAGATCTCCTTGTACTCCCACTTCCCAGTGCTTTGGTTCTCCTTCAGTGACATCAGGCGCCTAGGCAGAGAAGGAGTCACTCAGATTGTGCATGTGTCAAGAGAGTTTAAGGGCCAAAAAAAACTATTGTAATGCTATTGTTTTTATGCATTTGAAACATTTGGCAATGATCTTTCAATGTTAAGAACATTTGTCTATCAACTCTTTTTCGATGCATGACAATCTATTAAACATTTTAAGCATATTAATCAGTATAACATTGGAAAAATGTAGGTTATATTGTATAAACACACACCCACTCATAAAATCCCCAAATATGTAGAGGCCATTGAGATTAGGCATCTGGCAGCCGCGGTATATGTAGCCTCCAGTGACTGACTTCCCCAGTTTGTGGGGGTAAGCAAAAATAGGCAGGATGTCATCTGAGGAGAAAACATTTAACACAATAATACATCTATCTTGCTTTGGAAACATGCTGCAAGAATTTTACACTGCTTAAGAGATTTAATAAATATCTGAACCTCTTCACCAACTAATGAACTGATGCTTCATAGAGAATCAGCCTGCCACTTCTACCAAGCCTGTAGGAGGAATAGCCTACTCACCAAGAGAGGAGTTGCGACACAGCCTGTTGTCATAGCAGGAGAAGCCCTCCTTGGCTCTCCAGCCATAGTTGCCACCCTTGACGATGAGGTCCACCTCTTCAAACTTGTTCTGCCCCACATCTCCACAGAACAGTCGGCCACGGCCCTGCCTGGTGATGGGGTCGCCCCGGTCGATGGAGCAGCGCCACATGTTGCGCACCCCGTAGGCATAGATCTCAGGCAGCGAGCCCTTCTCCCCCAGGAAAGGATTGTCTGACGGGATGCTGTAGGGGTCCACGTCATCGTTGTTGTCCACATCGAGACGCAGCACCTTGCCCAACAGAGTGGACCTACACACACAGGGGTGGAGTTTAACTTGTAGTTGTAGTCATAGGAAAATGTACGAGCATTTTAGTGTGTGCTTCTGTCATTGTTTTTAATTTGTGTATGTGTATCCAACCTGGTCTCAGACCATTTTGTATTAGTCTCTACGTAAATCTGAGACACTCTAGTATGATATGTTACGTTTCGTATGGTATGTATTAATTTGTGGATGTTCATCACCCATTTCGTATGATATGTTCAAATTACAATTTGTATTATACATTACGAATTTGCCAAACGTACAATATGTTATGAATTTGCAAAATGTACAATATGTTACGAATTTGCAAAATGTATGATATATTATGAATTCTAGCTAGGTGGCTAGCATTATCTAGCTGGCTAACGTTAGCTAGGCTAGGGGTTAGGGTTAAATTTAGGAGTTAGATTAAAGGGTTAAGGTTAGGGTTAGCTAAAAGGGTTAAGGTTAGGGGAAGGGTTAGCTAAATGGGATAGGGGAAGGGTTAGCTAACATGCTAAGTAGTTGCAAAGTAGCAAAAAAAAAGTAAGTAGATGAAAAGTTGCTAATTAGCTAAAATGCTGAAGTTATCTGTGATGAGATTGGGACCTCTCTCTCTCTCTCTCTCTCTCTCTCTCTCTCTCTCTCTCACATATACACATACTATTATGCGGCCCACAGCGTCTTGTGTAAATATTAGCTTTGGCAGGTCCCACAACCCTCATATCCCTGGCCTCCCACTCATTGGCTGTCAAGAAACCGTCTGCTGATCTTTCTTCTTCTGGGATGAGCTGAAAGGGATGTTTCCACCCAATGCAACGCAATAGAATGCCTTTACCATAAGTACCACCCCCGGGGTAAAGCTGTGATGTAAAGATCCCTCTATTTCTGCGTGCATGAATTCTGCTATACACTAGAGCTACCCAACTATGAACTAGACATAACCCTCTTCTGAGAATAACGCATAACAAGGTTTGATTTAGAGCACCTGCTCTTACTGTACGTCTTGCTGCTGTTGAAATTAGGAGGATGGGCTCATTGTTATGGCTGGAATAGAATTAATGGAACGGAGTCAATCATGTGTTTTCATTCTTTTTTGTGATTTGTTTGATACTGTTCCATTTATTCCATTCCAGCCATTACAATGAGCCTGTCCTCCTATAGCTGCTCCAACCATCCTCTTCTGCACTACATTTACATCTACGTCCTAATATTCTGAACAGAATAGCAGATATTCTACCTCCACTCAGGTCTTTAAAAGGAGGGGTAAACATCTTTTTTAAACTCAACTATGCAAGACTGTAGTAATTATCACATGGTACGAAAAGGCCAGACATCGTCCGACAACATTCTCCATAAATATTACATTTGGCCTGGCACTGCAGTTCCAGACTCTGGCCACTGACCAACGCACCAACCCGGTTTGTGGGTGGCACTCACTTGCATCCTGACTGGCAAGGTTAGGCCCTGTCCTTGCCCATGGTTCAAAATAAAAATGCATTCTAAAACACAGACTGTCCAAAGCTCAGTGATGTTTTTCTCCAAAGAAGAGTCACTGTGTGTACTATTCTGCCATTGTATTATAATTATAGAGGTAGGTCACTTTCAGCTGAATGTTTTAGGCTGCCTTTGAGTCGTTTCTGAATGGCCCTGTGACACTCTGTAGATTCTGGGTACTGCCAACCACTGCCCTAGCCCCTGCCAGGAGAAAGCTAAACCTACAGTGCCAAGGCTAATATTGTGAACAACTATATCTGCATGAATGTACACATAGCGTTGAGCTGAATGTTTGTCATGTCAAATGCTCAGGGGTTGAGGTCATACAGATTCTCTCCCAATGTAACATTGGCACCATTGACAAGTAAGGTCATAAAATCACACTTTCCTGGATAGCTGCTGAGCGGCATTGCTGAAGGTCCTGTATAAATGTAATTGGAAAACGTTGCGCTTTAATCCATGAATATGTCAATTCATCTTCTGGAATATTAAACTTGTTTATGACAATCTAAGTGACTACAGCTCAGAGATAAAGTTAATCTATGACATGTATTAGTCAACCATGAATATAATAATTACTAGACATTTACCAGGCAACAGGATTTTCCATTCTTTAAAAATAGAATCATGTATCACTATAGTATCATATGAGAAGGTTGAGTACTTCAGTTTACAAACACACTAAAATACTAATTGTGCCCTGTGGTCCCTTTGCTGTAGCTTAAATCTCTCCTGGCATAATCAAAGATGTCACGCTATAGGTTGAACTTTTTGAACCCCTATTTTTCCTGTAATTTTTTGTGGTAAATCACTGTAAATAAGTGTAAAGAGCCAAGTTTCCGTCCACTACTAGCACTAATACTCCAACACCACTGTTTAGGTGTCCTTAGTTGAATGATAACTATATCTTAAACTCTTTGAGAATGTAGGTCTCTGAAGCGAACATATCATTCTGACCTTCAAAGAACATCAACATGGGGTGAAGGCTAGATATATACCAAATGTCACCCCCTTATTTGTTTCCCCTGAATTCATTTGAAATGTATAGAGCACAGTGACTCACTTATTCTGGGAGTTCCCAAACTTGCCAAAGGGGTCCCCTGCTCTTCCCCCATCGCCGATGAAGATATAGAGGTAGCCATCGTGCCCGAAGAGAAGCTGGCCCCCGTTGTGGTTAGAGGCAGGTTCCACCACTTCCAAAATAGTTCTACAAAGAAAACCACTCATGACTAAACATCACTAAATTAGAATCTGATAGGATGAGTGTAGTTGCAGATCTCTATTTCAAATCTGCTGGTTCATTCAGATTTGTATTGTTTCAAAATGTCAAATACATGCATGTGAATGGAGCCGATGACACCACAGGTTCTGATTCAGTCCATGCCATTTGGTGATACTTCTCTTACCTCTCTGAGGAGTGGTCTAGTTGGTTCATATCATCAGCGGACAGTGTGAACTCACTAATGCGGATCCTCTCCTCCTTCTTCACAGAAACAGAGTAGTAGACGTAGGCCTTCCGCACCACTGTGAAGCGCGGGTGGAGGGCCATGCAGAGGAAGCCCCTCTCATCCCCCGCCCAGGGCGAGGTGAGCACTGCCTTGGTCAGGTTGAGGAAGGGCCGGTCAATACGGGAGCCGTTGGCCAGGTACGCCCACACGTAGCCCAGCTGCTCGGCCACAAAGAAGCGATGGGTCCCGTCGTCGGCGTGGACCATGGCCACCGGGTTCCTCAGGCCGTTGGCCACCTCCTGCAGGCACAGCTGCAGGCAGCCCTCGGGGTCCGCCCGAACATTTCCCAGGTTGGCATTGAGCTTGCCGTCGGAGAGCACGTTGGGGTAGCAGTACTCCCTGTCTTTGAGCTCCAGGAAGTTACAGAACTTATTGCGGTCCTCCTCTATGCCCACCGTGGCGTTGTTGTCGGTGAGCAGACTAATGGTGTAGCGGCACTGGTGCCAGAACTCAGAGCAGTAGTCTCCACACAGGCCTGGCAGCTCCCTCATGGGCGTATTGGCATCCTCAGCATCGTACAGGTGAGCAGAGTAGGGAGAGCACTCCTGCAAGGATAAGGAAACCTCGTTTGAAAAGTGGCAGAGCTATTGGGGTTCGGACTACACATACTTATGAGCAAAACTCCATGATCAGTAGACCTACCTTATCGGCTGATAACTTTCATAATGAGCCATCACTTAAGCTGTAGGCTATAGCCACTTGATTTGTGCAATCTCATATTGAAACTTCAAAAGCATAATCTACAGGTTAATACTATGCCATGTCTGTTCATGATATTGTGCAGCTATCATGATGAACTCTCCATAGGTTAGAAAACGTTTGAAATTCATCATGTCCTCTTCTCCTCCCAGTACTCACCAGACCAGCTGGTAATGACTATTCTGGCTATAAATAAGGCCTCTTTAAATGCATCTTGGAATGTCCAATCCCTTATTAAGTCAAAGCCACAAAATTACACCCATTTAGACACTGGTAAACCATTGGGACAATGACGCAAAACATATAAACACTGTAACAACTGGTACTGAAAGAGACAATTCTGTTACAAAGACTCTGATTGATTATATATATATGATTCCAAGTCTAATGCAAAGGGGGCATAATGTGTTCTGGAGTTCTGCTGAGTAATTTTGTATTTCTTTATATTTCAATCTGGGATATGCTCTCTCAAAGGTGCCATCAGACACTGCTCAAAAACTCAACATCAAAACTTTTAACATCAACAGCACTGGCCAACTCGGGGTTGAAATCTGTTGCTGACCATAAATTGCTGGGTGGATTATGCAATCACATGATTGTCAGGCAGTGACAAAAACAAAAAGGGGGTAATCTGGAGGTGGTATGTGTTATTCACAGTCACACTATGTGTCTGACTTGGGGGTACAGTATAAAACTAGTAGGTAAGAGCTGACAAATGTGGGCATATAGCTGCTAAAAGGAACATAAAAGCATGCATGAAATGCTTTGATTGTATACAAAATGTAAGATATATCACGTCATAGCACCTTGGAGTGAATGATGTATTTTTTACATACAACATAATTTCCGTTAGATCTTAAAATATCTAGATTTGGCTCTTGTTGAGGGGTTCATTTGTTTCTGCAGATCTTAAATAGTTTCCCAGCTATCTCCTAGCAGGGTGCCACCCCTTTCAAGTCTTTACAAACAAACCCAGCCATGCTGAGTCCCATTTCCTTTGTACATGTCATGGAACTATCCAGAGAAATGGTATCAAAGAGCACAGTGTTCAGTGAAGCTATGCAAAGCAGGATTGATATCATGCCATGCTTATTTGGTTCAATTGCACTCCAAGGTGAAAACGTGAATCTCTGAGTCTGAATGTAAGATGCTATTGAACTACGCCGAACATAGACACAAACATCTAGGTTGCAATTACCCTTCTATGACTCTCTGAAATAAACATACCAGTGCTACCCCTAACCATATAATGTATTGTCTAATTCAGCCCAAAATCAACAGGGCCAATTTTATTTATATGGATTTCACCTATCAGATAGGATTAAATGGATATAAAATAGAATGAATAGAATGGGAGTCCCCATTCAAGTCAATGATTTGACGGTTCTAGTCATTCTATTTCTATGCATTTAATCCTAATCCAGATAGATATTTCTTTTTAAACTGGGCCCTGAGCATTGTTCTTTGCCCTGTTTCATCTTGTTTCGTCAAATGGGTGTTGACTCCTCTGGCCTCTACTGCAGGCAGCCCTGATAATGCAGTCCCTTCGCCAACTATAACGTTCTGTTGAAATCCTTTGGAAACACTGTAATTTAGAATGGTGTTGGATGGGATGGGGAGCTCTGACAACAGCAATCCGTCAAATTTAACTCCACGTGCCTTTTGTTCACAGAGATGGCAACCAGATGTGATGTTACAAATTGTACATTTTAGCGTGGAAACATCCCTAGACTAGCACTACCACACGCACACCCACAAACACTGTGAGAGAGTAAAGAAGGACTGTAGTAAAATGGTTAAGTACACAGTGCAGGGTGAGCTGGTAGGGTTAAAGCTGTGTGTGTTGGTTTCCTTTCCTCCATGAGTCACCAAAGTCAACATAAATACACTCAAAGAAACCTCTAAAAAGGCCCTCCTTCCAAAAGGGGTGGGAGGTAATGAAAGAGTGCACATGTGCCACATCATATAGGACAACCCTTCAGAGTTCCACTTTGCCACGATCACTGTAAATGTGAGACCTCTCAGCTTCCAACATTGGGAAGGAGGTATAGGATATATTGAGTTAAATGGTTGACGTCATTGTTACTAATTGTTTTGTAATAGTCAATCCTACCACAAGTAGAAGTTATAGTTCCTTCAACTATTTCAGTGGAAATATGATACTGTATATCCTGTTCAGTGGCCACACAGGAAATTGATGTTTGGCTGGTGGTCAGTGGACCTCTTGACAGATCACAAGCAGCCCCCTGTATCTAAGACAACTGTCCGGACAAAGGGCATCATTGAGCAGAGTTTACCCTGGCTAAGTGGCCGTGGGCATTGGGTCTCCAGCCACTGACCACACTGCCTGTATCTCAGCATGGCTGATAGGAGAGCTGAGAGCCGAGCACAACAGCTCACTTCCACCAAAGGAGGCTGCTGAGGGGAGGACGGCTCATAATAATGGAACGGAGTCAATGGAATGGCATCAAACACATGGAAACCATGTATTTGATGTATTTGATACCATTCCACTGATTTCGCTCCAGCCATTACCATGAGCCCGTCCTCCCCAATTAAGGTGCCACCAACCTCCTGTGACTTCCACTGGATCCAAAACCAAGCAAAGCTGAGGACACGTTCACATGGTCTGGAATTATCATCATTGGAGAGGAGAAATAAGTCATCCATTTACAGTAATTATGTTGTGGTGCTGTGGTTCCGGGCCCCAAAACCCACCATTGGTAAGAGTGCTGTCGTATCTCATGGTCGAACAGACAAGGCAAGGCCTTACATAATACCTCCAACTGTAATTTGTTCCAATCTACAGCGTGCACATTTGGAAAGGCCTGGGTTATGTAATTATCATGATGTTCACATACATTTCAGTAGTGCAGGGGGTGCCACTGTGTAAAAATCGGAATTGAAATACAGTTTCATGAAAATGTGATATCTTAATCTGTATCAAAAAAATTTTTAGGTCCTGTGATGAATTAGAATTTTATAACAAGTGAAAAAGATTTAAAACCATTCAAAAAGATAATCCAGTCTACAAATATCCTGCAATTTTGTGGACTGTTTTAGGTAAGGAGGCATAAGCTAACATCCGACTACTGACAGACTTCAATTTACCTGACAGAGGATGGTGCGTATGTATTTCGCACAGGTCATGTAACCTGAGTAGTCAAAGTAGTCCATGATCTTGTAGAAGTTCTGGGAGATCTTGTCATCTTTCTCCAAATCACAGCAACCAAACTTGGCGTACTCCTTACAGAAGACCAGAGGCTCCTGTGGCTGGAAGGGGGGCTTGTAATCCAGGCACTGGGGGTGTGTGTTCCCATGTCGGGGTACGAGTAGGACCAGTAGGACCAACAGCCACTGGGACAGCAGCTCAACTCCCTTTACACTTACCCTGCTCATAGCAATGGTAGTTCACCCTGCCACCTGTAGGGCTAAGTAATGGAGCGATGCAGAATTCCAAAAGGTCTGTGTGTAGTGGTGATTCTGTCCCTTCCCCCTGGCGCCTGACTGTTGGAGAGCCTTCCTATGTTTGCTCTGGACATGTGCTCTTTTGTGGGACAAAAAACTAACGGTGGTGGAGAGCAACAGGCCCTTTCATTCAGCAGTCAGCCCCGGCTGCTTCCACTCTCCACTCAGATCCTATTCCCTCCCTCTTCCCCTTACTCTCCCTCGCTCTCTTTCTGTCCTCCACAGACACATGGCATTCTTTCCCATTGCGGCCTATCTATATCACCCTGCTGTATATCCCCTCCCCCTCTACATACTCAGCCTTTTCTCTACTTCCCACACACCACTCTACCCTGCCTCACAGATTCACTGAGGGGAGTAGAAGAGGGGTGTGTATGGTTGAATGACTCAGGACGTGTGCTGAAAGAGGAGAGCAATGGCTCCTCCACACACCACAAACAATGGCATAGCCTATAAGAAACTGTATGATGGAGTACACGTGGATAATGCTCATGTGTTTGATATAGGCTACTGCCGTTATTCAACAGGCATTTGTGAACCACTTGATGATATGAAATGTGTCTAAAACCAATAGACATCAACTGAAAATCTGCCCTAAAGTGAATTGAGGCTAACGACAAGTGGCGAGACAGCCTTTGAATTGGCTTGCTACTGAATGTTGTGTTCTAGACCTACAGGGTATACAAATACCACTGTCATCTGTCTTTCATTGGACTCAGCCACCCCCCTCCCATATACTTGGCTTCAGATGTGACACATTTGCACAGCAACAACATAGGAACAACATAGGAACTGTTTATATTTCCTCTTTCAATGACACATTTTGAACATGGGGATATTAAACCATATGCATCCCAAGAATTAAATACAGCCCCATATTAGGAAAGGCTGGATAACAAGCTCATTAATCAAATATTGGTTATTCAAAATCGGTATCATCATTTCTTATTCCTTTTTCACTAATCTTCTAGGATGTTTTCAGAACTTGCATTGCTGTCCGTGTTTAGTGCTTTATTGGGGTGAAACAGCTGTGAGCCAGAGTAAGTGAGTCACAGCGAGTTCATCTGCTTTCTGGGAATTGTACTGCCTCATATCAGTAAGCCAAGTCTCAAACACTTCAGATAGACAGAATGAAGATGTAGTCTGGGCCATGGCTTTTTGGAAAAGCTATCAAAGATTTTTTTCAACATAAATGATGATAGGCTAGCAGTCTGTAGGGTGTAGTTTGTATTACTGTACCATTTGGAACCACTTCTGCCATTGGCAAGTGGTGTAGTCTATTCCTGCATGCGCAATGCTAAAACTGAATTTCAAAGAAAGTGTTACATACTACAGAATGCTGTATTTAGAGAGATAGATATTTTCACATCTGAATGGAAGTGGGACCCATGGTGTTTGAAGGTCTGGACCTGAAGACAAGGACAGTAAATCAAATCAAATTGTATTGGTCGCGTACGCTGATTTTGCAGATGTTATCGCAGGTGCAGCGAAATGCTTCTGTTTCTAGCGCTAGCTCAGTAAAAAGGAAATTAAGAAATTAAGAAATATCAGAAAAAGCAATGTCAGAGTCCGGAATATATATCTCGTGGGGCAGGAAACATGTTGGTGGTACACGACATTACCAAACGTATGTGGACAACTGCTCGTCGAACATCTCATTCCAACTGCGAGCCAGACCTAATCGCCCAACATCAGCGCACGACCTCACTTATGCTCTTGTGGCTGAATGGAAGCACATCCCCGCAGCAATGTTCCAACATCTAGTTGAAAGCCTTCCCAGAAGAATGGAGGCTGTTATAGCAGCAAAGGGGGGACCAACTCCATATTAATGCCCATGATTTTGGAATGAGATGTTTGACGAGCATGTGTCCACATACTTTTGGTCATGTAGTGTATGTTATGTGATAACCTGTGAGTCCAATCTAAGGATGATAACAACTTAATAACATATCTTGGATCTAAGGTTACCCCGTAGTAATTCAACATAAACTTGCTATACTAATTTATCAGGAAACTGTGGTGTAGTGTAAGTGTACACTGAGTCAATAGCGATTTTAGCATGTCAATCTTGGTGGGGCATACAAAACAAAAAAATGTTTTATTAATTGCACTATAACAGTGACAAACGGTGCCCACAAACGGTTTTGGCCTACATAAAGATGTCCCAACAGCAGAGTCCCAACAGCAGTCCCAACACCTTACCACTGTTACACCTGGCTATCAGCGGAGCCTTGTCTGGCAGCGAAACAGTTCATTCAGCCTCATATACTGCCTTAAACAAATGTGGTTTCTACAGAAAATTGAGATGTACAAACTTTGGCATAAGGGGATGATGAGCGGATAAGAGGCAATCCGTAATTTCTATTAAGGCATTAATGAGCGAGCTAGGCCGGACGTAGTCAATATAACTATTTGTTCAACACTTTTGAAATGTACAGCGACAGAATTCAGAACATGGGCCATTCTTACAGTATTCTCCCTGTACACCAAGTCAGAACCGTAGGATAAATAAAGGGGGCATATAAGCAGACAATGAATGCTCTTACAATATTCAATGATAACATTTCTCTAAAACAAGCTATAGGCTACATGTGCACCACCAAGTCAGAACAGTAGGCTAAATTATGAAGGGAAAAGGGACCAAATTATTAGGGTGAGGCACATGGGCTACTAACAGCTTACTTCACAACATACACTTAGTATAACTTTCTTAGCTACAGTGTACATATCTCCCTGGCATATTACATCATATATGCAGCAGCATACAATACATTTTTGGACACACCTTGTTGTGCTGTGCTCACTTGAACAGGAAGATGGCGCGGCGGTCCTTTGTGGGCATATTTTGTCATCAAACTTTGTCATCAAAGTTTGGCATTCTCTGGATTGATGGTGCTTTCAAGACAACTGGGAACTCTGAAAAAAACAAGGTCGAATCATGATGACGTCAGTGATCTTCAGGTCGGAGCTCTAGAAAGAAACCCTAGTTCCCTACTTGCCATTCAGAGTTGGATGACCGTTCAAAACGTATTTTCCCTGTTGGAACTCATTTTTTTCCCGAGTTCCCAGTTGTCTTGAACTCACTAAAGTCTAAGATTTCCATGTTCCGAGTTTCCAGTTGTTTGGAGCGCGTCAGAAGTCATGCTGGATTGACAGCATGGCCAATGTTTAATGTTTATCCTTTTAAGCTTGGAAAAGAGACCCTTAAACCCAGACTTGGACCACACTCCCACTCCACTGAATAGCAGGCTAGTGATTGCTTTGCATTGCTTGCAGTTAACCACTGATTCCTTCCAAACCACTCAATGTTGAATTTGCGATTTCCAACTTGTTGTTGTTTATGACCAATGGCCGATGAGCACCGATAAGTTTAATCTATAATTTCTCTTAATTTTTTCACGTCATATGACAAGGATTGAAAAGGATTTGCCAGTAGATTGTCGACTTGATTCATGGTGATGACTGCTAGCTTGCTAGCTAAGATTTTGAAAGTATGATGTTGACATGATCAGTCCAATCAAAGCTACTGTAGATATAATGTGATTTGACATAATTTTATCTGTGGCCAATGACCTTGAGCCTCCTTGGATGGGCACTTCCAATGTAACTCTATGGCAGCATCCAAGGGGCTTGAATTTTCGAGCTCTACCCGTAGATTATGCGGTGACTAGTGTCCCCATGAGTGTCAGAACACTGAGCCAATCACGGCGCAACTAGAGAACATTACCAACCCCTACGCTCTGTATTTTCCGCTTGCTGCCCCACAACCACAAAAAGCACTAGGCTGAAACACCTGCATTTTAGAGCTGCCTTACTCAAGAAAGCAAGTTTGTATGCATCTTTATTAACTCAATGATATAATTTTTTTTACATTGTTTGCGAACTGATATGTGACATGTATTAATGCCAAAATAACACGCAAAACAGGAAAAACACTTTTTTTTTTAAGCTAAACAGGTGGAGCTCAAAACAACCCTGAATGACGTGTCGCCGCTACACTGAGTACAAACATTAAGAACACCTGCTCTTTCCATGACATAGACTGACCAGGTGAATCCAGATGAAAGCTATGATCTATTATTGATGTCACTTATTAAATCCACTTCAAACAGTGTAGATGAAGGGGAGGAGACCGGTTAAAGAAGGATCTTTAAGCCTCGAGACAATTGGGACATGGATTGTGAATGTGTGCCATTCAGAAGGTGGATAGGCAAGACAAAATAATTAAGTGCCTTTGAATGGGATATGGTAGTAGGTGCCAGGCGCACCGGTTTGTGTTAAAAATTGAAACACTGTTGGGTTTTTCATGCCCAACAGCTTCCTGTGTGTATCAAGAATAGTCCACCACCCAAAGGACATCCAGACAACTTGACACAACTGTGGGAAGCATTGGAGTCAACATGGGCCAGCATCCCTGTGGAACGCTTTACACATTGTAGAGTCCATGCCCCGACGAATTGAGGCTGATCTGAGGGCTAAAGGGTGTGCAACTCAATATTAGGAAGGTGTTCCTAATGTTTTGTACACTCAGTGTATATCTTGCTATCGCCAGTTCCCACTCGCCCTCTTCCTCTCCTTGCCTGCCTGCCTCAGAGTACCATCTCAGGGTTGAGTATCCATTAACTCCGGAGACAATGCTGGAGCAGTGCATTTCATGCTCTGACGCTTCACTCCATCTCCAACCTAAGAGCCAGACAGGGTGAGTCAAGGAGTGGGAGAGGGTGCATTCGGCTAGCCCAAGAAAGTCATGAGCGTCTGGGGTCGTTCAGGGGTAACCAGTATACCGCGCTGCTCTTTCAGAATGATACACAGCCAAATCCACCCTTTGGTTTAGTATCACTAAGCATTATTTCTTAGGAAGTGATGTTTTGGTTTGATAAACAGTGACTGCATGATTGTTATGCAATTCCAACAATTGAAAAAAGTGGTGGAAAAAAAGGTGTGAGATGACTGACTGTATTAAGCTTTAGAGTACATTTATGTGTGTCAATCAATCATACTACACTATCCAGCGACTGGACACTTTAGCTATGGTTTTACTGTGTCTGTGTAGACTATAGCAATCCAGATACTCTGACCTGAAAATCAAGGCATCTTTCAGTGGTAGAATCAATAAAGGATTGATATTTCATTGTGGTACAGTGGAAACTGTATTGAGGAAGAGGAGGATGGCACTCCACAGTACATTGCTGTGACATCAAGGGGGATGGCAGCAAATTAACATGTTTTGTTAAGCTTTAGAATGCCCAGTGGGCTAACAGAGAGGGCTATTCCCAATGTGTGCATATTCTCTCCCCAAAGACACATAAGTGGCGTGACTACAGATGGCTTATCATGGATTGCCTGGAGCCCAAACGTCGCAAACTGTACAAAACACACCCAGTGTCTCTTACGTATACACATCAACTGCTTACCGTACTATAAAACTATCCAAGCATGCATTTAAAATTGAATATACACTCTGTACGTTCTTACCACCTATCGAGATATTGTTGCCAAATAATATTAGCAATTATCCTGATGATTTACTGGGTTTTCCACAGTGGACTAACAGAGTCAGGCTGACACCAATACTTTTGGCATTAATATTCCTAATTCCTATGTAAATCCATTTCCTGACATATTATGTAACACATCAGCAAAGTTAGTTCCCACAATCCAAGGTTGTTCCAGCTCTAAAACTTCAGGTGGATTAGTGCTTCTACCTCGTGATTCACCCCAGTTGCTCTCAGAGAAAAAATATTTAACAAATGCTCAAATGGCCATGAAAAAGCCCAGGATTTAAACTTCAGTCAAATTGCTACTGACACTAATTGATTGCCGTTTTAATTGTATATATGAGAGATCGAAAAGCCACGTCAATTTCATATTACATTATAACACTCCAATTTAAGTAATATCTCTAGAAGGCCACTTGAGTGTGGCTGTGCCAGAATGAATAAGCTGATTTCAGTTTTGAACTAGAGTTGCCATTTCAGAGCCAATGCTAATTCTGAAAGAACAAGAGAAAGTCCTCTATTTAAATTCCGATGAGTAACCCATCACTATGAGTTGGGGGAAAAACATTTGTTCAAAGGATGAAATTAGTCCACTGCGGATTCAACCCAATATGAGCATGACATTGACAGATTTGTGATAGTATAATATCATTCATTCACATTCAATTGAAGAATGGCATTAGCATCAAATAGCCCCCGCGATATGCAACTTTTCAGGGAAGTTAGGAACCAATATACACAAGCAGTTAGGAAAGCAAAGGCTAGCTTTTTCAAACAGAAATTTGCAACCTGTAGCACTAACTCCAAAAAAATGTGGAACACTGTAAAGTCCATGGAGAATAAGAGCACCTCCTCCCAGCTGCCCACTGCACTGAGGCTAGGAAACACTGTCACCACCGATAAATCTACAATAATCGAGAATGTCAACAAGCATTTTTCTACTGCTGGCCATGCTTTCCACCTGGCTACCACTACCCCGGCGACCAGCTCTGCACCCTCCGCTGCAAATTGCCCATGCTCCACCCCCCGCTTCTCCTTCACACAAATTCAGACATCTGATGTTCTGAAAGAGCTGCAAAATCTGGACCCCTACAAATCATCTGGGCTAGACAATCTGGACCCTTTCTTTCTAAAATTAGCCACCGAAATTGTCACAACCCCTATTACTAGCCTTTCGTAACGTCTGAGATCCCCAGAGATTGGAAAGCTGCCGCGGTCATCCCCCTCTTCAAAGGGGGTGACACTCTAGATCCAAACTGTTACAGACCTATATCCATCCTGCCCTGCCTTTCGAAAGTTTTCGAAAGCCAAGTTAACAAACAGATCACCAACCATTTCGAATCACACCGTACCTTCTCCGCTATGCAATCCGGTTTCCGAGCTGGTCATGGATGCACCTCAGCCACGCTCAAGGTCCTAAACGATATTATAACCACGATTGATAATAGACAGTACTGCGCAGCCGTCTTCATCGACCTGGCCAAGGCTTTCGAATCTGTCAACCACCGCATTCTTATTGGCAGACTAAATAGCCTTGGTTTCTCAAATGATTGCCTCACCTGGTTCACCAACTACTTCTCAGATAAAGTTCAATGTGTCAAATCGGAGGGCCTGTTGTCTGGACCTCTGGCAGTCTCTATGGGGGTTCCACAGGGTTCAATTCTTGGGCCGACTCTTTTCTCTGTGTATATCAATGATGTCGCTCTTGTTGCTGGTGATTCTCAGATCCACCTCTACACAGACGACACCATTTTGTATACATCTGGCCCTTCATTGGACACTGTGTTAACAAACCTCCAAACGAGCTTCAATGCCATACAACACTCCTTCCATAGCCTCCAACTGCTCTTAAACACAAGTAAAACTAAATGCATGCTCTTCAATCGAACGCTGCTGGCACCCGCCCACCCGACTAGAATCACTACTCTGGACGGGTCTGACCTAGAGTATGTGGACAACTACAAATACCTAGGTGTCTGGTTAGACTGTAAACTCTCCTTCCAGACTCACATTAATCATCTCCAATCCAAAGTTAAATCCAGAATCGGCCTCCTATTTCGCAACAAAGCCTCCTTCACTCATGCTGCCAAACATGCCCTCGTAAAACTGACTATCCTACCGATCCTTGACTTCGGCGATGTCATTTACAAAATAGCCTCCAACACTCTACTCAGCAAATTGGATGTAGTCTATCACAGAGCCATCCGTTTTGTCACCAAAGCCCCATATACTACCCACCACTGTGACCTGTACGCTCTTGTTGGCTGGTCCTCACTACATATTCGTCACCAAACCCACTGGCTCCAGGCCATCTATAAATCACTGCTAGGCAAATCCCCGCCTTATCTTAGCTCATTGGTCACCATAGCAACACCCACCCATAGTATGCGCTCCAGCAGGTATATCTCACTGGTCATCCCCAAAGCCAACACCTCCTTTGGCTGCCATTCCTTCCAGTTCTCTGCTGCCAATGACTGGAACGAACTGCACACACTGTATATATATTTTCTATTTTCTGTTGTATTTTTGACTTTATGTTTTGTTTTACCCCATATGTAACTCTGTGTTGTTGTTTTTATCGCACTGCTTTGCTTTATCTTGGCCAGGTCGCAGTTGTAAATGAGAACTTGTTCTCAACTGGCTTACCTGGTGAAATAAAGGTGAAATAAAATAAATAAATACAAAATAATAACCTGACAGGACAGCCCATCATTTTCACATTCTTATCAATTTAATTTAATTATACAGGATGGTAAATCATGAGGTTAACAGACAATATAGATTGTTTTATTATGCAGGTAAAAACATGTTTACTGCTAAGTTTTTCTGTTCGCTTGCAAGAGTGTGTAAAATAAAAAAGACATCGACTTTAACAGCAATGTTTCTGCACTGACTGAATTACTAAAACATTTGAAAAATGTACACGATCGATAAAAAGTTTACAAAAAACATTCCTCATACGAGTAAACATTAGTTCTACATCTTTGTTCATGAACAAAGTAATTAATCATCCAATCAATATTCCATAAAATAAGACCATGAATATTACGTTATTTATCCCTTACTGTAACGCAGCTTGCAGAGTTGTCGAGTAACAGAATGTTGGGATGGAAGTGGTACAATACATGCAAACAAGCTAGGTAAGTTTATACTAAATCAAAATATCACAATAGAAATTGAGAACACAAGAAAATGATCATGGTTGAAATGTCATGTGGTCTCTCACCAGCTGCATTGAAGTGTTTTCCATATTAAGATGTCTTTGCAATGAGCATGCACACATGGCTTGAATGTTGGGACTACTGGTAATGAGGAGCATTATGAACAACAGAGCTGGTCTAATTTACTGATGTGTACACAGTCATTATCCTTATAAGATTCAAGTATTGAATCCTGGCTCCTGTAATGCAAGCCACGTTCCACAATGTGTGTCTGTGTTTGTTTGTTTGTTTGTTTGTTTGTGTGTGTGTGTGTGTGTGTGTGTGTGTGTGTGTGTGTGTGTGTGTGTGTGTGTGTGTTTTGGTTAATTTAGCACGGGAACAAAATAATAATGAACCTCAAATATCAGGTTCAAAATATAAATTGTGTCAATAACCCTCATAGTGTTTATACTGTACACTGCAATCATGAAAATGTTACATTTCCTTTTTTAAACAAGATATGTTTTCTAAGTAGGTCATACATTTATGGAAAGTCAAGACAATAAGTATTTCCCCACCCCTAGAAATTTCATTTAAAACAGTTGCAGTGATGTGACTCTGTGCAGTATTCTGTATGAAGTAATTGTTAAAGAATGCTTTTGTGAATGAATTGAACTAATACAGTGACTGTAGCCAATAGACTTTCTGTTAATCAGTATTTCATAGCGGTAACCCTGACACCTACAGGGAGGTATCAGAACATACAACACTGCAACTGGATGCACAGAAAAGTAGAATCCAATTGTTCAGAGTCAACGAAGTCGATAAATATCCATTCATTCATTGCAATGAATGTGTGAATCGCTGTCAGAAATCCATTTCAAAACAAGACGTACAGAACTCCAGAAGGATGTTGCTCTTTTCATAGTGTGGTTTCACTTTCTATGTCCTTTGTGTGTCATGAGTCACAGCACATTCCAAATAAAGTCAACTACAAGTAACCTTGGATAAGATATGGTATTATTTGTTGAAGTCATAAATATGATGTCTGTTACCGTCACCTCTCGAGTCCCACTTCCTCCATAATATCCCTCCTAGCCCCCATGTAGTCTTTATGGGTTCCCTGTGGGTGCTTTTATAAAGTCACAGTCCTTAGTCCCTAGTCACCCATACTGTCACTGCTGACTCAGGATATAGGAAGTCTGCTTTAATGAGACTATATATTCCTGGGGGCCGAGGAAGGATGGACATTTCCTGGGAGTCTGCAGAGACAAACACAAACAAGCCACCGGGTTAGGGGAGCCGCTGTGAATCAGGAGGGAAGGGAGTGCATAAGATGTCCGGGCAGCATTGAAGTCAAGTAGGATTCTCATATCTCCGAATAAACAAACATGCAGCGTAGCCTCGTTGGGAAATGCAACACTCCGCAGAGGAAGAGAGCTGGGATGCTTAGCGTCTGACGACGACCCAGAGCCAGAGAACACCACAAAAGTGAGGTGATCTATGGAGGGTGTTACCATGGCAACAACATATAGAAACACCCACTGAAGTCTGACTATATTTTAGTTATCCCGCTAGGTCATTTGTCAATTTATACATGGGTATATCACGATATGTGAAATGTTGGATTCATAAGCCTTTAAATATTTACAAAGGCAATGATGCTTATGAATTATAGAGCTCCCAAGTTAGTGTGAGCCAGCATATTTACGCAACATAGTCTAGGGTTATACCTCAGCGGTAAGCATGTTTGAGTGTGTGTGAATAACTATGACATTAGGCAATACAGTGCTTGTTAATTAAAGCTAAATTATAACTAGTATAATTGGATAGAATATTAGCCTTAGGGCTCTATTCAATCCGTATTGCGGAACTTCAGTGTTACAGCATGATAGAAATTTAAAGGTAATGTTCCCGCGTTAGTGGAGACTGCATTCTTGGTAAACACTGCGTATGTCAGCTCAATTGGAAATTACCTTTACATTTCTACTGCACAATCTGTAACGCTTCAGCGATACAGATTGAAGACAGCCCAAAATTGAAGCTTAACTAATTTAGCCCAGGAAGACTAGCTCAACTTTAAATGGCCCCTATAAAATTTTATAATTTGCTAATTATAACCATGATGAGAAAAATGGTGTAAAACATTTACAATGTGTTAAAAGATAAGAAAAAATACAAACCCTAATAACACATAATGACATCATAGCATTGTCATCACAACCATGTTACAGAAAGGTACATTTATATTGTGTGTGTATTCGCTTATATACCCAGCTGCTCCTTGCTCCTACAATTCTTGTAGGAGTGACTCATCCATTTCCCCAGCAACGGCCGGACTATTTCTTGCTGCCTGGGAAGGAAGAGGCATGTGGGCATGAGGTGCCCTGCCTCAGGTCAGAGGCCAGTGCCAATGCAGACACCACAGTCTAGTGCTCTGCATGGATGGATGGATGGGGGGATGGGGATGGGGATGGAAGGAGAGAGAACAGAGGGGAAAGGAGAAGGAGGATGGGATGCTCAGTGCTCTATGGGGTGTGGTTAAGTAGACTTCAGCCCCCTCTGGGCCTATGGAGGGAGGAAGTCAAACGTGTTGAAATGCACCTGCTGGTGAAGGGGGCACCCTATGGTCACGTCTCCCCCATTTAACAGCTGTAACTGTCAGGATCTACAAGAGTATTATCATAGTAGTATTTCTTTATGAATGTGACATTTATCATATAATGCAGTAGAGGATACATGATCACAAGTCTACACATGCTCTCAGTTAACACCGTAAAGAGATGAACTATTAATCCATTAGAGCGAATATAGTGTCAGCTGTCGGCTCGTTATCTCTGATTGGGAGCCATATTTATACTGTCAGTGTTCACCTTAGGGTTGTGGGTTTTTGTTCCATGTTTCAGTCTGTGTACTGAGGACTTCACTATCCGTCATTGTTTATTGTTTTCTCGTTCGTGCACTTTAACTTTAATAAAGTCATGTTCGCTACAAACGCTGCGCTTTGGTCCACTCCTTCCGTAGACGGCCGTGACAGAAAAACCCACCAAAAAAGGACCAAGCAGCGTGTCCAGGAGCAAGGAGACTGGACATGGGAGGAAGCGCCGGGTAAGGAGATCGAGAGGCTGGCGATGGCCCAGGTGGGCAAATCGTGGTCCTGGGAGGACATGCTCGGGGGCAAGGGACCTTGGGGGAGGATCAAGGCCCTGGCGAGAGAGGAGCAACGGCGTCAGCAGGGCCATCGTCGGAAGGACGAGAGGCAACCCCAAAAAGTTTTTGGGGGGGGGCACATGGCTTGGGCGGCTGGGCAGCAGGAGGCTGCCACAGGGAGACGTGGAGAGAAGGCTACCGGATTACGGGAGCCATTGGCGAGTAGAGGGAGGGAAGTAGTGGAGGCACGGCGTGAGAGACTGAGGTGTGTTACCAGTCCGGTCCGGCCCGTTCCTGATCCCCGGTTAAGGCCAGTGGTGTGTGTTCCCAGTATGGACCGGCCTGTTCCTACTCCACGCACCAAGTCCACGGTGTGCGTCGCCAGCCCAGCCCGGCCTGTTCCTGCTCCACGCACAAAGCCTACGGTGTGCGTCGACAGCCCAGCCCGGCCTGTTCCTGCTCCACGCACTAAACCTACGGTGTGCGTCGCCAGCCCAGCCCGGCCTGTTCCTGCTCCACGCACTAAACCTACGGTGTGCGTCGCCAGCCCAGCCCGGCCTGTTCCTGCTCCACGCACTAAACCTACGGTGTGCGTCGCCAGCCCAGCCCGGCCTGTTCCTGCCACCCGCACCAAGTCTACGGTGCGCGTCGCCAGCCCGACCCGGCCTGTTCCTGCCACTCGCACCAAACCTACGGTGCGCGTCGCCAGCCCGGTCCGGCCTGTTCCTGCCACCCGCACCAAGTGTACGGTGTGCGTCGCCAGCCCGACCCGGCCTGTTCCTGCCACTCGCACCAAACCTACGGTGCGCGTCGCCAGCCCGGTCCGGCCTGTTCCTGCCACCCGCACCAAGTCTACGGTGCGCGTCGCCAGCCCGACCCGGCCTGTTCCTGCCACTCGCACCAAACCTATGGTGCGCGTCGCCAGCCCGGTCCGGCCTGTTCCGGCCACTCGCACCAAGCCAAGGGTGCGAGTCGTCAGCCTGGGAAGGCCCATTCCTCCTCCACGCACCAAGCCAGGGGTGCGAGAAGTCAGCCTGGTAAGGCCCGTTCCTCCTCCACGCACCAAGCCAAGGGTGCGAGTCGTCAGCCTGGTCCAGCCCGTTCCTGCTACTCGCACCAAGCCAGGGGTACGAGTCGTCGGCCTGGTCCAGCCCGTTCCTGCTACTCGCACCAAGCCAAGGGTGCGAGTCGTCAGCCTGGTTCAGCTCGTCCCTGCTACTCGCACCAAGCCAAGGGTGCGAGCCGTCAGCCTGATCCAGCCCATTCCTGCTACTCGCACCAAGCCAGGGATGCGAGTCTTCAGCCTGGTGAGGCCTGTTCCGGCTCCACGCACCAGGCAAAGGGTGCGTATCGTCTGCCAGTTCCGGTCCATTCCTACCTCACGCGCCAAGCCAGGGGTGCGCGTCGGAGGTCCTGATCCAGCAAGCTGGGTCAGATCGGACCGGGGGCACTACGGGGGGAGTGAAGTGGGGTGGTGGTCAAGCCCGGAGCCGGAGCCGCCTCCGAGGAGCAACACCCACCCAGCCCTCCCCTAGTTTGGGGTGTAGGCGCGGTCGGAGTCCGCGCCTTTAGGGGGGGGTACTGTCACGCTCGGGCTCCGGGACTGCGTAGTTTGAGCCAGGGTGTATTCATTTGGTTGTGTTGGGTATAGGGTGTGTTCATTTGGTTGTGTTTGGTTTTGGTTGTAGTGTCTTGTCTCGTCATGTGACTCCCAATCGGAGGTAACGAGTGTCAGCTGTCGGCTCGTTATCTCTGATTGGGAGCCATATTTATACTGTCAGTGTTCACCTTAGGGTTGTGGGTTTTTGTTCCATGTTTCAGTCTGTGTACTGAGGACTTCACTATCCGTCATTGTTTATTGTTTTCTCGTTCGTGCACTTTAACTTTAATAAAGTCATGTTCGCTACAAACGCTGCGCTTTGGTCCACTCCTTCCGTAGACGGCCGTGACAGAATATGGAAATTACATGCTTAATGGAACATTTCAACTCAAGATATACTGTAGACTTAGTATGAAGTAATGTTGACTTATAGAAATAAAGAAACACAGTACATTAAATACTAAAAAAAACAATTCCCTTTAACAGGCAGATGCATACTGTATAGCACAACAATTAACTTTTTACCTGGAGGCGGTAATTCAAAACAAATCTTAAACAGTAAGGGGCAGTTTCCCGGACACAGATTAAGCCTAGTCCTGGATAAACAGTAAGCTCAATAGAGAATCTCCATCTGAAAAAAATATGTAGCCTTATTAATCGGTGTCCGGTGAAACGCGCCTAAGTGACATTGCAAACTGGTTCATACGGTACCTGGGCTTGAGGCTGTGATGATGTTTTGTCATATGTAGGAGGTCCAGCATCCATGGTGGTCAAGGGGCATCCATGGTCAATAAGCAGTTGATGGGTAGGAGTTGTGTAAGTCAGTTCAGGCACATAATTCGAGCCGTAGACAGTGGGCACCTGATCCTTAACCAGTCCCATGTCAAAGCACACAGTCGACACAAGGGTAGAAGAAAATACTATTATAGCTAACTGGGGTTCCTCACCTAGTTCATATGAATGTTGCTTCAGAATAGTTACTGTATTAAACTAACTACATATCGTGGGGATGTATAAAATTAACTTGTATGCATCATCTTGAGTTATTGCCAGCAGATACTTATGACCCCATGCTGTGCGATAAAAAACAAGTGTTTTGTTGTTGTTGTTGTTTATTGTAAGAGACAACCCATTAATGTTCCCACAGGTTTCTTCTGGCTAAGCTCTCTAAGGACCCTAAAAAGGACCGCTCAGAGATGCCATGATGAATCTGTCTCTTGTTTTCATTAACTCTACTGTACAGTGAGATCAGGGCAATTAGCTGTGTGAAGTGATGCCTCTGCCAGACATTTGATCCTAATTCTCTCCATCTTAAAACCTTTTATTCCACTTCGTTGGTTTCAATAAAAAAATGAAATGTTCCATTCATCTTCAAAAAAAGTTCAGTAATTCAAAGAGATGACATGGAAGTTGGCTGTTATAAATCAATTCCCATGCAGTCACTCCTCTAGTCTACTCCTCTCCTCCTCCTCCTCCTCCTCCTCCTCCTCCTCCTTTCTCTCACAATGAGTGTTGATTAAATGAGGAAGTCACTTTAAAAATTCACTTGAAGCACTATCTTTGTTCAGAGCAGCCGAGTGCAGCAGGGATCAGATCTGCTCTGATCACCGCAGCGCAACGAGGAGATCAGTGTTCGCTTTAGGAAAGAGAGAGAGAGGCATTACATCTCATTACAGCCCTGCCGTTTGACAAGTCTGTGGCCCCACTCCACTGGGTGCATGGGAGACAGCACATAACTACTGTGGCTGCTGCCACCCAAACACACTAGTGTACTGAGAGACAATCTGAGGTGAATGTGAGATTCTGCCTGCCTAGCACAACAACAAAAAAACGAACGTTAACAGCAATGGGGTTTCTTATGACGAGTGAAATCGTTTGATTGCTAGCTCAACAACTTGGGGCTGTTGTAGTGGCGGTCTGGTAATTTGGGATAGTCAGGTTATGGTGGGCGGCTCAATGATTTAGTGCGATGTAATTGGTGGTTCCGTGATTTCAGATAATGTCAGCAGGGGTGGTATAACATCTGATTTGTGCTGACAACTTAATTCCCTCATTTGGCTTGTGGGTGATACTGTGTTTGTATACATCTGTATCACTTATAAACATTATCCACAGTTATCCTACTGGGCACAGACGTCAATTCAACATCTATTCCATGTTGGTTCAACGTCATTTTCATTGAAATGATGTGGAAACAACGTTGATTCGCCCAGGAGATGTCATCACTGCATAGTTCAACTGGCACAGGTCTACAGACACTGCAGAGATGCAACAGGTGGGCACTGAACACTGCAGTTAAAATGGAAGAAAACGCCCCAGTTTATTGGGTTTTATAAAGTGCTTCGGGAGATTTCTAGCACTTAGAGGCTGATGTGGATAGGACAGCGCAGTAATGGTGAATGGTAGTGAAGGGGTGCAGCAGGAGTGAACACTGGGTACTGGGGACACTGCCAAGTCTGCCCTGGGCCCCTCCGCTGTCCACTCTGCCCCCCTACCAGCCACCATCTGTCACATATCTCTCCACTGGTCTCCGAGATGGTGGCCAACCACAATTAGAGCCGCTGATTGGGTGTTTATTTATATCACCCTTATTTAACCAGGTTAGTCTTGTTGAGATAAAAATCTATTTTTCAAGAGAGACCTGGACCAAGACAGCAGCATCAACACACCCATTTCAGACAAACAGGCACATGACAACAACCAGACGAAGATATATGGTGTGGTGTTCTGTTCAGGTTCATAGGCAGAGGGGATCTCACAGCTGTACACTTCCCTAATCCTTTAGGCTGACTTCTGGTGATCCCTCCGATTGGAAAGCAGAAGGGAGGCTCACTGCTTTACATAATCGATTTCCATAACTAATTTACAAATGTTCATTATAAAAATGCACAGCCCACATCAGCTCACTTCCCTGTTTCTCATTCAAAAAGAACACATAGGCTTTAGGTAAGATACAGTATGGTAACTCCAGAGGATTGTCTCTCTCATTCCTAGTCTTAGAAACTCATTCATAGTCCTAGAGAACATCAATTTTGTCAGTCCCTATATTTTCACTATCATATTCTGTCGACCCTCAGAACAGGGCCTTTGCTTTAATATTATGGATGGACACATACAAGAGGAAAATGAATACAGGGATAGGTTAAAGTGGAGGAAAGAGGGGGCAAGAGGGAGGTTCGGCTGTGTGCTTGTCACCAACGGGTCTTAGAAGGCACAGGCGCAAACCACTGCTACCACTACTATGTTGCCGATGGTTGCAATGACGGCTACCCAAAGCCAGATGGCATCACTGGAGTACTTGCCCTCCTCTTCCGCTTCAGTCGGCCGGGAGAAGTTGGCGTTGAGGTTGGAGGTGGAGGTCTGGAGGGACGTGTTGCCATTGTACGGGGAATCCATGAAGGCCCCACTCACAGCCGGAAAATGCTGAGGGACAAAAGAAAGAGAGAGATGAGAAGATGACTTGGATCAAGGCCAGCATAATTGCATATTAGAGATTGACTTTATGTACAGTAGCTCTGTGCAGTAGCTCTGTAACCCTGTGTCCAAAAATAGCATCTGGAGGGTAACAGGTATCATAAGGTTGATAAAATGGTGAACGGAAATACCCTCAGTGCTGTGAGGGCAGACGGGGGAACAAGAACAATCCAGAGCATCTGGTTAGTCATTGTGGCGTTACTACCCTGTGTCCTATTCTGACAATCACAGCTGCATGACCTACAGTGGGGAAAAAAAGTATTTAGTCAGCCACCAATTGTGCAAGTTCTCCTACTTAAAAAGATGAGAGAGGCCTGTAATTTTCATCATAGGTACACGTCAACTATGACAGACAAAATGAGAAAATCACATTGTAGGATTTTTTATTAATTGATTTGCAAATTATGGTGGAAAATAAGTATTTGGTCAATAACAAAAGTTTCTCAATACTTTGTTATATATCCTTTGTTGGCAATGACACAGGTCAAACGTTTTCTGTAAGTCTTCACAAGGTTTTCACACACTGTTGCTGGTATTTTAGCCCATTCCTCCATGCAGATCTCCTCTAGAGCAGTGATGTTTTGGGGCTGTCGCTGGGCAACACGGACTTTCAACTCCCTCCAAAGATTTTCTATGGGGTTGAGATCTGGAGACTGGCTAGGCCACTCCAGGACCTTGAAATGCTTCTTACGAAGCCACTCCTTCGTTGCCCGGGCGGTGTGTTTGGGATCATTGTCATGCTGAAAGACCCAGCCACGTTTCATCTTCAATGCCCTTGCTGATGGAAGGAGGTTTTCACTCAAAATCTCACGATACATGGCCCCATTCATTCTTTCCTTTACACGGAGCAGTCGTCCTGGTCCCTTTGCAGAAAAACAGCCCCAAAGCATGATGTTTCCAACCCCATGCTTCACAGTAGGTATGGTGTTCTTTGGATGCAACTCAGCATTCTTTGTCCTCCAAACACGACGAGTTGAGTTTTTACCAAAAAGTTATATTTTGGTTTCATCTGACCATATGACATTCTCCCAATCCTCTTCTGGATCATCCAAATGCACTCTAGCAAACTTCAGACGGGCCTGGACATGTACTGGCTTAAGCAGGTGGACACGTCTGGCACTGCAGGATTTGAGTCCCTGGCGGCGTAGTGTGTTACTGATGGTAGGCTTTGTTACTTTGGTCCCAGCTCTCTGCAGGTCATTCACTAGGTCCCCCCGTGTGGTTCTGGGGTTTTTGCTCACCGTTCTTGTGATCATTTTGACCCCACGGGGTGAGATCTTGCGTGGAGCCCCAGATCGAGGGAGATTATCAGTGGTCTTTTATGTCTTCCTTTTCCTAATAATTGCTCCCACAGTTGATTTCTTCAAACCAAGCTGCTTACCTATTGCAGATTCAGTCTTCCCAGCCTGGTGCAGGTCTACAATTTTGTTTCTGGTGTCCTTTGACAGCTCTTTGGTCTTGGCCATAGTGGAGTTTGGAGTGTGACTGTTTGAGGTTGTGGACAGGTGTCTTTTATACTGATAACAAGTTCAAACAGGTGCCATTAATACAGGTAACGAGTGGAGGACAGAGGAGCCTCTTAAAGAAGAAGTTACAGGTCTGTGAGAGCCAGAAATCTTGCTTGTTTGTAGGTGACCAAATACTTATTTTCCACCATAATTTGCAAATAAATTCATTAAAAATCCTACAATGTGATTTTCTGGATCTCACCCCGTGGGGTCAAAATGATCACAAGAACGGTGAGCAAAAATCCCAGAACCACACGGTGGGACCTAGTGAATGACCTGCAGAGAGCTGGGACCAAAGTAACAAAGCCTACCATCAGTAACACACTACGCTGCCAGGGACTCAAATCCTGCAGTGCCAGACGTGTCCCCCTGCTTAAGCCAGTACATGTCCAGGCCCGTCTGAAGTTTGCTAGAGTGCATTTGGATGATCCAGAAGAGGATTGGGAGAATGTCATATGGTCAGATGAAACCAAAATAGAACTTTTTGGTAAAAACTCAACTCGTCGTGTTTGGAGGACAAAGAATGCTGAGTTGCATCCAAAGAACACCATACCTACTGTGAAGCATGGGGTTGGAAACATCATGCTTTGGGGCTGTTTTTCTGCAAAGGGACCAGGACGACTGATCCGTGTAAAGGAAAGAATGAATGGGGCCATGTATCGTGAGATTTTGAGTGAAAACCTCCTTCCATCAGCAAGGGCATTGAAGATGAAACGTGGCTGGGTCTTTCAGCATGACAATGATCCCAAACACACCGCCCGGGCAACGAAGGAGTGGCTTCGTAAGAAGCATTTCAAGGTCCTGGAGTGGCCTAGCCAGTCTCCAGATCTCAACCCCATAGAAAATCTTTGGAGGGAGTTGAAAGTCCGTGTTGCCCAGCGACAGCCCCAAAACATCACTGCTCTAGAGGAGATCTGCATGGAGGAATGGGCCAAAATACCAGCAACAGTGTGTGAAAACCTTGTGAAGACTTACAGAAAACGTTTGAACCTGTGTCATTGCCAACAAAGGGTATATAACAAAGTATTGAGAAACTTTTGTTATTGACCAAATACTTATTTTCCACCATAATTTGCAAATAAATTCATTAAAAATCAATAAATGTGATTTTCTGGATATTTTTTCCTCATTTTGTCTGTCATAGTGACTATGATGAAAATTACAGGCCTCTCTCATCTTTTTAAGTGGGAGAACTTGCACAATTGGTGGCTGACTAAATACTTTTTTCCCCCACTGTATATATACATACATACATACATACATACATACATACATACATACATATACATACATACATACATACATATACATACATACATACATACATATACATACATACACATACATACATATAAATACATATACATACATAACTTATATATACATATCCTTTAAAAAAATGTTTTTCCCTTTATTACTTTTCAAACCCACCACCCCTTCACTAATTGGAGTAAACTAGTGAACAACAACGCTTAGGCCTCTACTTCCAGATTATACATACTTATAGAATTTTATGGACACAGTCAATTTTACAATAATTATATTTTGTTTGTTTTTACTCCTGAACTTCCTCTACCCTCAACCTCTCCGATCATTTTCATCATGTCCATCCAGTTTGCTTCTATTTGCCTTATCTTTCTAACTGTGCTCTTTCACAAAAGCTCTCAACCTATAACCTATATACTTATTATGGACACCGTATGCTTTACATTAGTTATCTTGTTGTTATTAGTTGTTGTTAGTTGTTATTAGTCCCATCCTTCAGCTCCATTTAACACCTCCCATCTATCTCTTAACACCATCCATATTGGATTTCTATTTGCCATATATTTTTCAACTGTACTGTGATGTTTCACTAAAGTTCTGAACCCTTCTATTCTCATTGTTTCTACAGATTGTTATTTGAAAATAAACATTTTTGCTAAAAGTATTACTATATTATTGACTATGACTTTTCAGATCACCCAGTAGTGCTATCTGCAGGGTTAGCTCCAGATAAATATTGCAATCCTTTAGCCATTCCTGTACCTGTGACCAAAATCAAGGTACAAATGGACAGTACCAAAACAAATGATCTAATGATTCTGTCTCTTCGCAGCAAAACTGCAGAGCTGGGAAGATTGCATTCCCAATATAAATAGAATTTTGTATAATAATTTAAATTGTTATTAAAGTTTTGAATCTGGCGTCGTTTTGCGTATCAGTTCATAAACACTATGCCATGGAATCAGTACGTCAAAAATATCTTCCCAACTATTTTGCAATCTATATGGGAAGGCTGTCAATCCTTTGGTCCTTAAATGAAACTGGTATAGTTTTTTATTTATCACAATGTTCTTTAACCAATTATGTTCCCTGAACAATTTAAAGGTGCAATAAAACATCTATGGGATTTCATGACCATATACAATATGATAAGAAAATATTTTTGCAGTGGCTTTGTTTTTCTGTTTCTTGCAAATGTGCTTTGAACTAGCTAAATCATTCACCAGACAAGAGTGTTTCTGTTGTTATTTGGAGGAACGTTCGGAGGACACGGCCAGGTTTGTTTTCACTCCACGTACTTATTGGTGTTTTGGGTCTTCTTCACACCTCTTCTCCTTGCCTGGCTTAAAACGCACATCCATTTATCAGCTAAGTCTGAGTTGGCCCACCCTGCTCTAACATATGGCTGGACCAGCCAGACGGGACAACTGCACCCAGTGATGGACCAATCATTTAGCTGTTCCTTGTCCCCGCGCCCCCAGTCTCCACGGGGACAGGCTCGATCCATCAGGAGGGGACACGTTCATCATTCTGTTCCTCCCATCTGCCACTGATAAGAGAGAGGAACCAGGAGGAACCACCTCCACTACACCTCCTATCAGGAAGAGCGATCAGGGAAAACTTGGTTGAAAAGTTGTGTAGTGTTGTCAGGGAAGCTCATTTGCATGCTCGTCGTCCTCACCAGGGTCTTGACCTGACTGCAGTTTGGTGTCGTAACCGACTTCAGTGGGCAAATGCTCACCTTCAATGGCCACTGGCATGCTATTGAAGTGTGCTCTTCACCGATTAATCCCGGTTTCAACTGTACCGGGAGGTGGTGGCGTTGAGGTAATGGTATGGGCAGGTATAAGCTACGGACAACGAACACAATTACATTTTATCGATGGCAATTTGAATACACAGAGATACCGTGACGAGATGCTGAGGCCCACTGTCGTGACATTCATCCTCCGCCATCACCTCATGTCTCAGCATGATAATGTACGGTCCCATGTCGCAAGGATCTGTGCACAATTCCTGGAAGCTGAACATTTCCATGTTCTTCCATGGCCTGCATACTCACCAGACATGTCACCCATTGATTGATCATGTTTGAAATCCTCTGGATCTTCGTGTACGACAGCGTGTTCCATTTCCCGCCATTATCTAGCACCTTCACACAGCCATTGAAGCAGAGTGGGACAACATTCCACAGGCCACACTCAACAGCCTGATCAACTCTATATGAAGATGTGTCGTGCTGCATGAGGCAAATGCTGGTCACACCAAATACTGACTGGTTTTCTGATCCACACCCCTACTTTCTTTTAAAGGTATCTGTGACCAACAGATGCATATCTGTATTCCCAGTCATGTGAAATACATAGATCAGAGCCTAATTTTATTATTTTTTGATTTCCTTATATGAACTGTAACTCAGTAAAATCTTTGAAATTGTTGCATGTTGCATTCATATTTTTGTTTGCCTGTATGCCCTCCCACATATTTGTTTCATGTCTCAGGTAGCCCGCATGGATAGAATGCAAAAATTGACTAATATTTGCCATATTCTAATAATTATCTTGTGCCAACGGCTGCCTAGGCTAGTCCGTGCCATGATGAAACTTTCACTCCTGTAGATCTGAAATCATTGGATGGTGAAACTAGCCAGCCAACCAGAAAAGCAAGACGAAGCAATTCAGGGATCCTTGAAAGTCAGGTCAATCCTCATCTTGCAAATATATATTTTTTATAGTTAAACATTTGTATTTTGAAAGCTGTAGGCATTTAGAATGAAATGTAGAGTGGAGCTTATAATTACGTGATGACATCACGTGCCCAGCGTACCTTCAAAGGTATTCAGCAATCGTTATTTATTTTAAAACAGTTACCATCATAATTTGTCGCAATAAAGAAAGTTAGACAAGAAATCCACCCCTTTCGAATTGATAAAAACGTTGTAGATCTTTAGAAAATGTGTCCTATATCTGTCGTTTCCAATGATTGCTTTTGCTTTTGTCGAATAGACCTGGGTTAATGGAAACCTGCCTAATGTCTCTCAATGGTAAGGATGTGTCTAAGGCCCTGAGCTACTGTGACCTCAGAGACACAGGCCCAGTCACAAATTACTTTGATTGGCTCACAATGAGCTCTGTCTGTCCCTAGAGGCCAATGAGAAACCCATTGAAACAGACAGAAGGAAGCAGCAAATTAAGACTTGAGGTTCATCAATAGCGATCACTGTTAGGCATTGCAATTAATACTCTCTAACAAGGCAATGGGAAAAGAGTCAAGCATTCACTGGCAGGCTGGGGAGCCTAACTGACAGGCTTCTGTTTCCTGACACAACACGAGAGGAGATCCCAGCTAAATAACAACCATGTCTTTGATTATGTCATCCCAGTTCTATTTCAGTGTGCTATTAAACCCTGGGGAAAACAAGCAGGTAAGGGCACCCCAAGGCCACCAGGTATGGTGTCCTGACAGGGACAATACATGTTGAAGTAAATAACATACAGGCGGCTGTGTTGTTTTGCATGATGATCACACACACATCAAATGACCAGCTGCCTCCAGCTTTGAGTTATTGTTCTTTTTGTTTATCCAAATACTATTCACCAGACAAATGATTACAGTTGGTGGTATCAGGTGTTTAACTGTCCTGAAGTGTGTGCCAAAAGTGTGTTCCACTTAGGAAACTAAAGATGAACTGTCCACCAAAACGTATATCACAGTGAACAAACATCTGGGTTCCACATAAAGCTCTGGTGGAACTCCACAGCATTCAGAAACCCATTAAGAATAGGACACTGGATCTTCATAGCAACTCCTTTCAGCAGAGATAATAACCAGTTTAGGTTCCAGGGAGAGTTCTGAAGGTGTCATTCCATCCATTCATGCGCTATATGTGGATTGACCAATCACCATGCATACCACGAAGGGCCTTAAGACCTTACACTTTTACTGACTCCTTAACTTACTTTAAAAGCAACCAGAGGTTATGTACCCTGTCGCGTTTGGATGGAAGAGTTGTCTGCGGACGTTGTCACTGAAGTGGAGGCAGGGTGAGAGTTCACCGTTCAATTCTTCTTTTAATGATCAGTAGGTCTGATATCTCCCTCACCTCACCAATTATCAGTAACGATAACAAAACATAATCTAAGGCTCAGGTACAGCCATGGTGTCAAAGCGAAAGTTCTAAACAAGGACATTTCTTACAGTGGAAAATTATTTTATTATGGAAGATAATATCCAAGGCAATATCCGATATGGATTGGATGATATCCAAAATCCAATATCCAGATGGTTTAGATATCATGTTCAAAGAGAGAATAGAAAAGATCAACTCACATCGTCACACAGAGGAGGCCTCTATGAAGGATGATGGAACATATCTATAAAACATCATGAACGTCATAGTTATTCACGAATGCATAGCAGCACTTAAGTGATCTCTTACCACAGAGATTCATCATCTGTCTCCACTCAAGTGTTGTGTTCCAGATACTATTTCTTCCAATAGGGATCACAGGGAAGAACAAGAACTAAGATGCAATTTAGACTAGGATCAATAATTTTTAAGCAACCTTTAAAAGGAGAAGTTTGCTTTTTACAACCAAATGTATATTTTTGTTGCGACTCGAGCGATACCTCTCCATCCAGTCTACAGGTAACTGCCAAAATAAAGGTAACAATTGAGTAAATGAGGGATCCAGACACTTTTTTTTTGTTGCTTTCACTTGTTTTTGAGGAATTTACCCTAACCAGCGATTCATTTCCTCATGTACGGAGGCTCTGAAAAACATTAACAAATGCTCCAAAAACACCCAAATACGTCATTTTAGAAATGGAAATGCTCTGAGTATAGTGATGCAGGTCTTTAGATGTTGTACACATGAAGTTGTGTCATTCCAAACTTTATCTGCAACATTATATTCAATTTTGTGCTACGCGAGCCGTTTCCCCTATCCAGCTGTTCCATCCTCTGTGTAAACTGCTGCTACAAGTAACTGCCAAAATAAAGGACACACCAACATATAGTGTCTTAATAGGGCATTGAGCCACCAGAACAGCTTCAATGCACCTTGGCATAGATTTGACTTCCCGTGTGGATGCATATGCTTTCAATATACTTTGAATCCCTCATTTACTCAAGTGTTTCCTTTATTTTGGCAGTTACCTGTAGACTGGACGGAGAGGTATCGCTCGAGTCGCAACAAAATGGAATATAACGTTGCGGATAATGTTCAGATTGACACAGTTTCATGTGAACAACATGTAAAGACTTGCATCACTATACTAAGAGCTTTTCCGTTTCTAAAAAGGAAGTATTTGGGTGTTTTTGGAGCCTTTGTTCATGTTTTTTTTAGTTTTTAAAATGTATCGCTGGTTGAGGGTAAGTTTCTCAAAAACATGCCATTGACATCAAATTTAGAATTGGTTGTAAAAAATCCAAAAAATCTCCATAAACCTCTTAATATGTATATTTAATTAAAGTTCCAAGATTTTTCAGAGAATAAAGGAAGGCCGTTGAAGAGATTGGAGTGCTTGTAGTTCCCCTTTTTGTTTTCTTAGTAAAGACTGAGCCCGAAATAACTAGATATCTATATGTGGTTGTAGTTGAACTAGCTATCCTCATTACCCCGTATTGTATCGCAACATCAATGAGTAAGACAACTAGCATTTGTGACCTATTGGTCTTGTTTGTTTACATTCTGTATGCAAAGTCATGCTTCTAATTCCAAACATCTTAAGACATAGAGATGTGCCAGAATAATTCTGAGAACAACATTTAAAGGTCAACACGCAATCCCTGGTCTAATGATTTATTTACAACGTCTTCACTCTCACAGGAGACAAATGACTGACATAAATGGGAATGTTGTCAACCCAGCAAAAATGGAAGTGATGGTTATGTCAGCTTAAATGTTAATACCATCATGTAAAGTCCGTCATGAGAGTCAGTCTACCAGCTTAGAAGGCTAAAAGCCTAGGTCATTTTGCCATGCACTAACTTGCCAATGCATTTCACAATTCACTTGCACCAATCGTACTTTGTTTAGCATGTCCCAAACATGCTCTGCCCATGTGTTCTTTCTTCAATGTGCATGACAATCACTAGGCAGAGCCGCTTCAAGTGAAACTAACTGCACTGTGAACCACATATGCCACACTGTAGGTCAAAGAAGCAAAGTACAAAGTTGAGTTATGTTAGAGGATGCAAGGACAACGAAAGACACACATAAGTCGAGAGTCGACCCAGGGAAACGGGTGATGGGGACAACATATAATATTTGAGGAGGGGGAGAGAGTGGGAAAAAGAAGAGTGCAGGAGTACCTACTGTAGGTTCCAGTAGACTTCTCTACCACTTCCTGTATCACCGGAGGGCTGCGCTGTGAGTCCTGATTCACCACAGAGAGGGGGATTTAAAAGGAGAGCACTGTACTCACAGACAACACTGAGCAGCGATTGGACCAGTGCAGAGAGACTAAGTCATGACTGTGTGTGTGTGTGTGTGTGTGTCTGCATGAGGGAGGGACAAAGGGAGCAGAAGAACAGGGGGGAGTCTATAATTTAGCAGTGGGATTTCAATAAACAGATTAAGGTCAATCTACAATGATGTGGTTGCTTAGAGCTAACTCTCTGGGAATCTAAAGCCCCAACAAACAAAGTCTACCTGGTCCCTGTCCCAACCCTGGATCTGACATGTGTACAGCCACACTACGTCACCATTTCCCCAGCCGCCCCCCTTTGCAAATAATATCATTATTACACTAGTGTGTAAAGCCCCGCAAAGACAGTTGACACGATGGACTCATGACATGCACAATGGACATCCTGACATGCACATTTCTGTGGGCTTTGGCTCTGATGGACAAATAAGGTTAAACTCTCTGTTCCATTCAGGGAAGGGGAGAGAAGGTGCCTATGCCTATTCAGGCCATGGATCGTTAGTTGCATTATGATCTTTTGTAATATTACTTGGTTGAGAGGAGATGGAGTCACATGAAAAGAGCCTGTGGGGATCTTTCGTCAGCCTGAGCCCTCTGAGCCAACGTCATAAAAAAATTATCGTGAATCTGAGGAGAAAGGGAGATCATCTTGGAGAAGGTGTGGGGTCATACTAATCAGAGATGGGGAGTATTTATGTTACATGTATTTGAAATACGTATTTAAATATCTTGAGTATTTTGTCATTTTTCTTTCACTGGCCTGAACTACAGTCCAGTGTATTTTGTAACAATATACTCTAGAGAACTGTATGTTGTATTTTCGAAATACTTTTCAACAGTCCTGATAGAAAATGATATAGGGCATATTTCTAAAATAAGTTGAAATGGAAAAAAATTTGTTCACACATGTATTTGTTCGATTTACAACTGCAGAGGTTTTTGACTTAAATAGTCTGTCTATTGTTTTTACTTTATTTCTTTGCCTACTTGAAATGTATTTTCTGTATTTACATTTTTTATTGTTGACAACAGTATGTAGTATTTTATTTTTATGCATTCTTTACGGTATTTTATAAGATACATTTTGATTTATCTTTGCCCATCTCTAGTGTGAGAGAAAAATTAACATGTAACATGTTTACCTGCTTTGTTTAACAAATAGTAAGACATTTCTGTCCCACTAACGCTGTGTTTTTGTAAAGGGATGGTTTCTACTCCAGCTCCCTGCAGCTAGTCTAGGCGTGTGGTCAAGGAGATGGGTTTTACTCAAGATAGGGGTATCTGAAGCTGACAATTGATTTATGAATGGCTAGGTGATCAAACCAACAGCCACATTCCATTTCATGATTAATGGTGTGTAAGAGGGAGATGTCTCCGGTCTGACTGAGCCTGCATTTTCATAGACATAATTGGTGTCTGTAAGGTACCAGGGACGAGATCTGTTATGAATAGTTGATAAGAACCTTGTCTTGGGGGCCAAACCCTGGTTTCCATACAATGAGAAGTCTTCATAGCAGATACTGTCTGCTGTGAATTATTATTTTCTTTCATACAAATCCTAACCTTCTGACTCATTCCACACATCTGCTGTTTGTCATGTAGACTGAGAGGGGGTATAAAATATCTTTGTATTGTCTGTATGTCAGAGCTCTATGTCAGAGCTGTTTTACCCCACTTTTAAAAACTCACTGTGCTATACAGTGGACTTCAACTGCACACCCATACACACACACAGTGGTGTAATGTACTTAAGTAAAAATACTTAAGTACTACTTAAGTAGTTTTTTGGGTATCTGTACTTTACTATTTATATTTTGGACAATTTTTACTTCACTACATTCCTAAAGAAAATAAATGTACTTTTTACTCCATGCATTTTCCCTGACACCCAAAAGTATTCGTTACATTTTGAATGCTTAGCAGGACAGGGAAATGGTCCAATTCACCACTTACCAAGAGAACATCCCTGGTCATCCCTACTGCCTCTGACCTGGCGGACTCACTAAACACAAATGCTTCGTTTGTAAATGATGTCTGAGTGTTGGAGTGTGTCGCTGGCTATCCGTAAATAAATAAAAAACAATAAAATTGTGCCGTCTGGTTTGCTTAATATTAGCAATTTTTAAATTATTTATACTTTTATATTTACTTTTGATACTTAAGTATATTTAAAACCAAATACTTTTAGACTTTTACTTAAGTAATTTTTTATTGGGTTACCTTCACTTATACTTTAGTCATTTTCTATTAAGGTATCTTTACTTTCACTCAAGTATGACAACTGGGTACTTTTATTATTATATTTGTTTGTTTTATTGTTTTTGTCATATTTTACCCCCTTTTTCTCCCCAATTTCAATCTTGTCTCATCGCTGCAACTCCCCAACGGACTCGGGAGGTGAAGGTCGAGTCATGCATCCTCTGAAACATGACCCGCTAAACCGCACTGCTTAACCCTGAAGCCAGCCGCACCAATGTGTCGAGGAAACACCGTTCACCTGACGACAGAGGTTAGCCTGCAGGCACCTGGCCCGCCACAAGGAGTCACTAGAGTGCGATGAGCCAAGTAAAGCCCCCCCGGCCGAACCCTCCCCTAACCCGGACGACGCTGGGCCAATTGTGCGCCACCCTATGGGACTCCCGATCACGGCCGGTTGTGATACAGCCCGGGATCAACCCCGGGTCTGTAGTGACGCCTTAGACCTCTGCGCCACTTGGGAGGCCCAACTGGGTACTTTATCAACCACTGCTCACAGTACTTGCTCTTACACACACACACACACACACACACACACACACACACACACACACACACACACAAACACCGGTCTTTCCACTCACTTTGATCATACTTGCCCTGAACATAGTCTATTCAGCTCAATTTGCTTACACCTTTTGTTGAACTGACATGTTAGCATTGTTAAACTTTTCTACACACGCATGTTCATCATGCTTGTGAGAACAGCTGAGTTGAAAGCATCGCATGAAACGTATTTGTATATACAGTGGGGAGAACAAGTATTTGATACACTGCCGATTTTGCAGGTTTTCCTACTTACAAAGCATGTAGAGGTCTGTAATTCTTATCAAAGGTACACTTCAACTGTGAGAGACGGAATCTAAAAAAAAAAAAAATCCAGAAAATCACATTGTATGATTTTTAAGTAATTCATTTGCATTTTATTGCATGACATAAGTATTTGATACATCAGAAAAGCAGAACTTAATATTTGGTACAGAAACCTTTGTTTGCAATTACAGAGATCATACGTTTCCTGTAGGTCTTGACCAGGTTTGCACACACTGCAGCAGGGATTTTGGCCCACTCCTCCATACAGAACTTCTCCAGATCCTTCAGGTTTCGGGGCTGTCGCTGGGCAATACGGACTTTCAGCTCACTCCAAAGATTTTCTATTGGGTTCAGGTCTGGAGACTGGCTAGGCCACTCCAGGCCCTTGAGATGCTTCTTACGGAGCCACTCCTTAGTTGCCCTGGCTGTGTGTTTCGGGTCGTTGTCATGCTGGAAGACCCAGCCACGACCCATCTTCAATGCTCTTACTGAGGGAAGGAGGTTGTTGGCCAAGATCTTTCTATACATGGCCACATCCATCCTCCCCTCAATATGGTGCAGTCGTCCTGTCCCCTTTGCAGAAAAGCATCCCCAAAGAATGATGTTTCCACCTCCATGCTTCACGGTTGGGATGGTGTTCTTGGGGTTGTACTCATCCTTCTTCTTCCTCCAAACACGGCGAGTGGAGTTTAGACCAAAAAGCTCTATTTTTGTCTCATCAGACCACATGACCTTCTCCCATTCCTCCTCTGGATCATCCAGATGGTCATTGGCAAACTTCAGACGGGCCTGGACATGCGCTGGCTTGAGCAGGGGGACCTTGCGTGCACTGCAGGATTTTAATCCATGACGGCGTAGTGTGTTACTAATGGTTTTCTTTGAGACTGTGGTCCCAGCTCTCTTCAGGTCATTGACCAGGTCCTGCCGTGTAGTTCTGGGCTGATCCCTCACCTTCCTCATGATCATTGATGCCCCACGAGGTGAGATCTTGCATGGAGCCCCAGACCGAGGGTGATTGACCGTCATCTTGAACTTCTTCCATTTTCTAATAGTTGCGCCAACAGTTGTTGCCTTCTCACCAAGCTGCTTGCCTATTGTCCTGTAGTCAATCCCAGCCTTGTGCAGGTCTACAATTGTATCCCTGATGTCCTTACACAGCTCTCTGGTCTTGGCCATTGTGGAGAGGTTGGAGTCTGTTTGATTGAGTGTGTGGACAGGTGTCTTTTATACAGGTAACGAGTTCAAACAGGTGCAGTTAATACAGGTAATGAGTGGAGAACAGGAGGGCTTCTTAAAGAAAAACTAACAGGTCTGTGAGAGCCGGAATTCTTACTGGTTGGTAGGTGATCAAATACTTATGTCATGCAATAAAATGCATATTAATTACTTAAAAATCATACAATGTGATTTTCTGGATTTTTGTTTTAGATTCCGTTTCTCACAGTTGAAGTGTACCTATGATAAAAATTACAGACCTCTACATGCTTTGTAAGTAGGAAAACCTGCAAAATCGGCAGTGTATCAAATACTTATTCTCCCCACTGTATGTATACATTTCATTGGTGGGAGATGAGGCTTCTAAACAAGCATTGTTTTGAGTTTCATCAAGTTTTTTTTTACGGAACATTACAACACTAAAACCTAAGTCTCACATGAAGATAATAAATATTCTGAACATGTAGTTGGAGCAAAATACTATACATTTTATTGTGTTTTCTTTCACAGCTTTAGCTAATGCCAAATATGTTAATAAAACTAATTACACACAATCCCTCAAAAGGGCCCATGTTTGGATATCTGGTCAGGTGGTGTTATGCGTTCAAAAGGAGGATGTGATTATGTCCAATGGTTGTTCCATGTGATGGTGGATAACCATGGTGATTCTCCTGTATTAAAGTAGCTCTCCTTGATTATTGGTGTGTATGTAATCCTAGGTGTGTATGGTGTGTGTATAAACCTGTTCAGGGGCAAGACGATTGATAATATCTGTGCGGCAGCGAGTTGGGGTTCCCCACATACCTTTGTGAGGTTTTATCGCTTGGATGTAACTGCTCCCAATGTGTCTCATAGTGTTCTTATGGCTGGTTCCGGGAGTGGGTGTTAGGCAGCATGCAGGTTGTGGATTTATCTGGGTTACCACAGTTTCCTGGGGGTTTGAGCCTTGGGCTGCCGTGGCAGCGCGCGAGTACACCGTTTCCAGGTTACTGCAGGTTTCCTGTGGGTTTGAGCCTCAGGCTGCCGTGCACTTCACCAAGTCATGACAGGAGTTCTGTTATTTTGGAGTTGCGGTTCCTTGTACGAGTTCTGACATTTCAGGCTTGCAAGGTAAGTAATGTTCTTGGAACAGTGGGGTCTATTGGCAGCTTGATAGTGTGCCTAGCCATGTTGCAGCAGGTTCTGGTTCCCTATATGGGGCTCTGACAGTTCAGGCTTCTTGGGTAAGTATCAGGGAAAAAGGTGGCTTCTGTAACCCCTTTTTGGAGCCGGTGGAACCTGTGTGTGCTTGGGCTGCCAAGGCCTCCTAGTTTGGTACCCTCTAAGCCAGCATGGGGCGTGATTGTATGTCCACATAGTATGTTATACTGAGTGACCAACTGAAAGGGAACATACAGTTATGAATATAACTACTGTTCCCTGAAGGGAACGAGGTATAACACATTTTGGCCCCACGCCATCAAGGGGTTTGGCCAGGAAGACAGGGCTTCCGAGGGCGGGCTCGGAATCCATTGGGTGTTTTTGTAGTTTTCTTCAGGTGAATATGATTGGTCGTTGACGCCCCATAGTATGTTATACCCCGTTCCCTACTTCAGGGAACAGAAGTTATTCATAACTAAGTTTCCTTCAGATATAGTACTTTACACTTGTGATCTGGGTTACTCTATGTCGTGATGAGTTTCCAACATTGATCTAAATTGATTTTGGGGGGATTATAACTGTCCATCTAATCGTCCCTGAGGGTGAAAGGTTGTCTTCATGAGGTGACAGAGACACAACAATGTGCTTTTCTACATCACACCAGTCTCTCCATCCACTTAAAGTCCAATCTCACTAATATGGCATGTCAATCTATGTCTCGTGTGTAGCCTATTCTTGTAGTGAGCCATATTATCCGCAATTTGTTTTCAGAACATTCACTGACAAAAACTTACAGGAAATAAATGGACGTGTGTTCTATTTTATTGAAGAGCCCCTGACCAGTTGAAGGGAAATGCACTCCGAACATGACAAGTGGCTGGATTTGGCCTGGAGCAAGGGAAGAAAGGATGGAGTACACAGTGCTTACTGTCTGACTTGTTTTACCCCACGTCTAAAAACTCACTGTGCTGTACAGTGGACTTCTACTGCACACTCTCACACACACACACACACACACACACACACACACACACACACACACACACACACACACACACACATAGAGAGAGAGAGAGAGAGAGAGAGAGAGAGAGAGTACTCTCTCTGACACACACACGGGTCTTTCTGCTCACTTTGATCATGCATGCCCTAAACATGGTCTATTCAGCTCAATTTGATTACACCCTCCACTGTTGAATTGACATGTCAACACTGTTAAGCTTTTCTACACATGCATGTTCATCATGCTTGATAGAACTGCTGAGCTGAGAGCATCGCATGAAACATGTATTTGTATACATGTATACATTTCATTGGTGGGAGATGAGGCCGCTACAAAAGCATTGTTTTGAGTTTAATCAATTCATTTTTGAACGGAACACTACAGGCCCATGTTTGGATATCTGGTCAGGTGGCATTATGCGTTCAAAAGGACGATGTGATGATGTCCAATGGTTGTTCCATGTGATGGTGGATAACCATGGTGATTCTCCTGTACTAAAGTAGCCTCCTCGATTATTGGTGTGTATGTAAACCTAGGGTCTATATTAAGCACTGGGGTAGAATGTCCATTCTGAGGGCATCAGATTCCCCTCATGCACCCTCATCTTTTCAAGGCCTGAATAGCTCCCAAATCCTCAATCTCTTCTCTCTTCCCAGTGAGCAGCACAAAGCGTTGTGTCCATTACTCCACCGCTGTCAGATTATCTGGTGTGTGTGGATGGATGATCCCTTTCTTTCGTGAGGGAATTAACCATAGATTATTTTTGGGGTTTGTTATCTCCTCAAAACAGGGCTCTGGGTTATATAAGCAACTTCATCTGCTCCTCTATGTTATAACCTATTAATTGGACAGGTTTGCCATGCTATTGTCCATGATGACATGAGAGAGCGCATGTATTTGATTGCCATGCAAATCCAATGAGAACAAGCAGAGTCAATTTGCCCTGCCATTGTTTGGATCCCAAAGTGACGGGAGCCGTCAAATTCGGATGCGCCAGTGCCCCGGGAGGTAAAATGGTACACAGCTCTTCTCACTGGGTGGCTTAGGGGAGGAAGGCAATTAGCATGTCATCTGACTGTTTTCAATAAGAGTAAAAGGATGTAAAAGTCTTCTTTAGATCCTCTAGTGTAGAGACCTGCAGGCCATGCCCCCCTTTTGTAGGCCCGCGGATAAATATCCAACAAAATTGAGAAAAAAAAAAGATATACTGTATATATACAGCATATGTACACTACCAGTCCTAAGTTTGGACACACCTACTCATTCAAGGGTTTTCTTTATTTTTAATATTTTTTACATTGTGGAATAATAGTGAAGACATCAAAACTATGAAATAACACATTTGGAATCATGTAGTAACCAAAAAAGTGTTATACAAATCAAAATATATTTTATATTTGAGATTCTTCAAATAGCCACCCTTTGCCTTGATGACAGCTTTGCACACTCTTGGCATTCTCTTAACCAGCTTCATGAGGTAGTCACCTGGAATGCAATATATATATATATATACAGTGGGGAGAACAAGTATTTGATACACTGCCGATTTTGCAGGTTTTCCTACTTACAAAGCATGTAGAGGTCTGTAATTTTTATCATAGGTACATTTCAACTGTGAGAGACTGAATCTAAAACAAAAATCCAGAAAATCACATTGTATGATTTTTAAGTAATTCATTTGCATTTTATTGCATGACATAAGTATTTGACACATCAGAAAAGCAGAACTTAATATTTGGTACAGAAACCTTTGTTTGCAATTACAGAGATCATACGTTTCCTGTAGGTCTTGACCAGGTTTGCACACACTGCAGCAGGGATTTTGGCCCTCTCCTCCATACAGAACTTCTCCAGATCCTTCAGGTTTCGGGGCTGTCGCTGGGCAATACGGACTTTCAGCTCCCTCCAAAGATTTTCTATTGGGTTCAGGTCTGGAGACTGGCTAGGCCACTCCAGGCCCTTGAGATGCTTCTTACGGAGCCACTCCTTAGTTGCCCTGGCTGTGTGTTTTGGGTCGTTGTCATGCTGGGAGACCCAGCCATGACCCATCTTCAATGCTCTTACTGAGGGAAGGAGGTTGTTGGCCAAGATCTCGTGATACATGGCCCCATCCATCCTCCCCTCAATACAGTGCAGTCGTCCTGTCCCCTTTGCAGAAAAGCATCCCCAAAGAATGATGTTTCCACATCCAAGCTTCACGGTTGGGATGGTGTTCTTGGGGTTGTACTCATCCTTCTTCTTCCTCCAAACACGGCGAGTGGAGTTTAGACCTAAAAGCTCTATTTTTGTCTCATCAGGCCACATGACCTTCTCCCATTCCTCCTCTGGATCATCCAGATGGTCATTGGCAAACTTCAGACGGGCCTGGACATGTGCTGACTTGAGCAGTGGGACCTTGCGTGCGCTGCAGGATTTTAATCCATGACGGCGTAGTGTGTTACTAATGGTTTTCTTTGAGACTGTGGTCACAGCTCTCTTCAGGACATTGACCAGGTCCTGCCATGTAGTTCTGGGCTGATCCCTCACCTTCCTCATGATCATTGATGCCCCACGAGGTGAGATCTTGCAAGGATCCCCAGACCGAGGGTGATTGACCGTCATCTTGAACTTCTTCCATTTTCTAATAATTGCGCCAACAGTTGTTGCCTTCTCACCAAGATGCTTGCCTATTGTCCTGTAGCCCATCCCAGACTTGTGCAGGTCTACAATTTTATCCCTGATGTCCTTACACAGCTCTCTGGTCTTGGCCATTTTGGAGAGGTTGGAGTCTGTTTGATTGAGTGTGTGGACAGGTGTCTTTTATACAGGTAACGAGTTCAAACAGGTGCAGTTAATACAGGTAATGAGTGGAGAACAGGAGGGCTTCTTAAAGAAAAACAAACAGGTCTGTGAGAGCCGGAATTCTTACTGGTTGGTAGGTGATCAAATACTTACGTCATTAATTACTTACAAATCATACAATGTGATTTTCTGGATTTTTGTTTTAGATTCAGTCTCTCACAGTTGAAGTGTAACTATGATAAAAATTACAGACCTCTACATGCTTTGTAAGTAGGAAAACCTGCAAAATTGGCAGTGTATCAAATACTTGTTCTCCCCACTGTATATATATATATATATATATATATATATATATATATATATATATATATATATATACATACATACATACATACATACATACACACACACACACTTTTTTATTGAAACTCAGTTCAGAGTTAGAATAGTAGAATACACAGGTGTAATTTCATTAGCAGTGTTTCTGTTTTTATGTCAGTCACTGACAGTCACTCAATTAGCCTATGTCTATCCAGCTATCTAAACTTGTAGCAATCATGGTCGAATTACCGACTGGGGGCCCCCCATTGATTTTTTTTGACACTCTCGGGGGACCCCCAACAACATTTAATTTAGGGCCCCCAAAAGGCTAGGGCTGGCTCTGACTGCATGTGTGGGTATGGATGTGGGTACACAGAACCAGCGAGCCACTGCAGCCCCTCATGATGAGTTCAGATTTTTGTGCCCCCCCCCCCCCCCCCCCCCCCATCAAATGACCCATCCCTGCTCTGGTGAATCAGTGGATAATATACAACTTTCAGACATTCTTTTTCGATTTAAGAAGTCATCTGAACATTTTATCCACTACAAATTCTCTAGAGACATTAAACTCTCAGATAAAACATTTCCCAAAAGGTAGAATATAAAATGTTTATTGTCTGATTTGTTAGACAAATATATTTTTTAATAATCCTTCGATTGCCGTAAGCGGTTTATTTTTCATTATCATTCAAATTGGAAATGGCGTTGGTTCAGCTCCCAGAAAACAAAGACATTAACCAAATCGAGTTGAAAGTAGTAATGCTCTGTTTTCTTAAAGTTATTATAATAATTAGTCATTTAGCAGACACTCTTATCCAGAGCGACTTACAGGAGCAATTAGGGTTAAGTGCCTTGCTCAAGGGCACATCGACAGATTTTTCACCTAGTCGGCTCTGGGATTAGAACCAGCGACCTTTCGGTTACTGGCACAACGCTCTTAACCACTAAGCTACCTGCCGCCCGTAGGAGTCATTTTGCATGAGATTAGCTTGCGGAAGCATTTATTTTTAATTTTTATTTTATTTCACCTTTATTTAACCAGGTAAGCCAGTTGAGAACAGGTTCTCATTTACAATTGCGACCTGGCCAAGATAAAGCAAAGTAGTGCAATAAAAACAACACAGAGTTACATATGGGGTAAAAAAAAAACATAAAGTCAGAAATACAACAGAAAATATATATACAGTGTGTGCAAATGTAGCAAGTTATGGAGGTAAGGCAATAAATAGGCTATAGTGCAGAATAATTACAATAGTATTAACACTGGAATGCTAGATGTGCAAGAGATTATGTGCAAATAGAGATACTGGGGTGCAAAAGAGCAAAATAAATAACAATATAGGGATGAGGTAGTTGGGTGGGCTAATTTCAGATGGGCTGTGTACAGGTGCAGTGATCGGTAAGGTGCTCTGACAACTGATGCTTAAAGTTATTGAGGGAGATAAGAGTCTCCAGCTTCAGAGATTTTTGCAATTCGTTCCAGTCATTGGCAGCAGAGAACTGGAAGGAATGGCGGCCAAAGGAGGTGTTGGCTTTGGGAATGACCAGAGAGATATACCTGCTGGAGCGCAGACTAGGGGTGGGTGCTGCTATGGTGACCAATGAGCTAAGATAAGGCGGGGATTTGCCTAGCAGTGATTTATAGATGGCCTGGAGCCAGTGGGTTTGACGACGAACATGTAGTGAGGACCAGCCAACAAGAGCGTACAGGTCACAGTGGTGGGTAGTGTATGGGGCTTTGGAGACAAAACGGATGGCACTGTGATAGACTACATCCAATTTGCTGAGTAGAGTGTTGGAGGCTATTTTGTAAATGACATCGCCGAAGTCAAGGATCGGTAGGATAGTCAGTTTTACGAGGGCATGTTTGGCAGCATGAGTGAAGGAGGCTTTGTTGCGAAATAGGAAGCCGATTCTAGATTTAACTTTGGATTGGAGATTCTTTATGTGAGTCTGGAAGTTGAGTTTACAGTCTAACCAGACACCTAGATATTTGTAGTTGTCCACATACTCTAGGTCAGACCCGTCGAGAGTGGTGATTCTAGTCGGGTGGGCGGGTGCTAGCAGCGTTCGATTGAAAAGCATGCATTTAGTTTTACTAGTGTTTAAGAGCAGTTGAAGGCTACTGAAGGATTGTTGTATGGCATTGAAGCTCGTTTGGAGGTTTGTTAACACAGTGTCCAATGAAGGGCCAGATGTATACAAAATGGTGTCGTCTGCGTAGAGGTGGATCTGAGAGTCACCAGCAGCAAGAGCGACATCATTGATATACACGGAGAAAAGTGTTGGCCCAAGAATTGAACCCTGTGGCACCCCCATAGAGACTGCCATAGGTCCAGACAACAGGCCCTCCGATTTGACACACTGAACTCTATCTGAGAAGTAGTTGGTGAACCAGGCGAGGCAGTCATTTGAGAAACCAAGGCTATTTAGTCTGCCAATAAGAATGCGGTGGTTGACAGAGTCGAAAGCCTTGGCCAGGTCGATGAAGACGGCTGCACA